TAAATTTAACATATAATATAAGTCTTTAATAAAAAAAATAACAAATCATTCTAAATACAAAAGATGTTTCAAGAGGGGAGATCAAAGAGATGTTGACCAAATATTTAAAAAAATTTCCTAAAATAACACAACTCAATTAAATATAAGAATAGTATACTTTAATAAGAAGAGGGAAAAAATTGTTAAGGAATTAAGCTTGTGTGGTAGTGCTACTGACAGCTTTAACTTTGCACGCGATAATTAAGAGATTAAAGAATTATTATTATAATGAAAATGTAATGATAGTTGTACATTTTATAAGATTCAATGGGCAACATGGCCAAAAATTAAGAATTCGTAAAGTTAAAAACAAAAACAATACGCGGGAATCTCGTCTTTGGGTCGTGGCCCGTAAGTACCGAGACTAGAGACTTTTTTTTTTTTGTCCACTGGCTCGCAAGTTTAGAAAGGTTGATGGTATTGCTATTCTTTGTTCTTTAGGAGATTCTTTTTTATTTATTTTTTTTATAACTTTTTTTTACTAAAAGTATATTAAATATATTTTTTATGAACAATATTATATATGATAAACTCAGTGTATTGCATCAGAAATTATTCAAACAATGATCGATTTACAAATATGCTAGATTGTGTTCGAAATAGAACCATTGACTATAACCAAATTCTGAATTGTTTTGACCAAATTATACTCCGTCTGATTTTTTTTTAAAAATTTGTTTATATTTATTTTTTTTATTTTCAAAGCTTAAAGAATAGTGATATTTAAATAACACATAAAAAATATAAAATGATATTTTATTTTAATTTTATAAAATTATGATATTATATTTATGTAATATTATTTAATAATAATAATATTGGTTTAACTATAAATTACACCATTGAATCTTGATTTAGTGCTTTAACTAATTCGATGATTGATCTAATTTTAAAAACATTGATACTTAGAATAATTTTTTTAAAATTAATATAATATAAAATATATAATATATCATGATATAAATATTATAAATTAATATAAATAATTAAATTATATCTTTATAAAAAATTATTAAAAATAAAATTAACATAATTTATTTTAATTTATAAGTTTTTAAAATTTATTTATTTCTTTATCATAGAAATATTTTTTTAAAAGAATTAGAAAGAAAAAAATACCAATTCAATTCGATTTTTTAGAGTAGTTTTTAACCCATTTTTATTAATTTTGAATCGGTTCATTCAATTTTTATTGATTCTTTTATACATAAATTTTATGATTCTTTCACGGATTAAATTAAACGACTTTTAATTTGATTGATCGAACGGACCAATCCGTTTCAATTCTGACAACAATGTATATAAGTGAATCAAACATGTTATTTTAGCATAAAAATATCAGTATCTTCTTAAGTCAATCAAGCATGTTATTTTAGTATAAAAATATCACTATCTTCTTAAAATAAAAAAAGTATGGAACCAATCACCAAAAGTACATTAGAGAAGGAGAAAAATCTTAACAGTCAGAAGCCCATCCCGGTTCCAGCATAGTAATAGTGAGCCTATTTCCTTTTTAAAAAAAGTGGTCATTACAAAACCCATCCACAATGTTAACTATTTCTCTGACAAAATTGTGTGGAAGAGACTATACATTATAAAGTAAATAAATTCGCTTTGGAAGTGTGTAAAATTTTAACTCTCACAAAAATTAATTTTTATAATGTTTAATCTAATCACAAGGGCAGAATTATATATTCATTTTTAAAAAAAATTGACAAATAACGTAAAGAAGGTGAAATTAGAGAAAAGAAGATTAACATCTCATTTATGGGTGAAAGCTCATCCATTTGCCGAATATAGAAGAGGATCATTTGGACCAACTAATAGAGATTAGTCAGCCCTTTTATTATAGCTAGTACTCTTAAATCCTATCACTTGTAATAATTAGGTACTTTCTACTCATAGTTATAAGAATAATTTATTTAACAACTTTTATCGTATGTGTACCAACATGACTCTCGAGCCGAGTATCTGAGTTCACGAGTTGACTTGGCCGAGACGATCTCTTAAACAAGCTAACATAAAACCATGCAATGCTGACATGGCACATCAGATGAGAGACATCATCAAGACACCTCGGCATGTTGACAATAACCACCTTAGTAGTTACACGGTTACTCGGACAACCACCACAGGTAATAATGTAACCAATGTGTGAAACGGAGACCCCTAACTAACTTGATCGTCGGAGTCCTTTTTGCAGGTACATCCGAGACGTCCGAGCAAGAAGATCAGAGAGAGAAGGAACTCGACCTATTGATCGACTTCACACAACCTCGGTTGGGCTCAGTGGAGAAGACGACTTATCCGAGTTTGGGAGACGACCTGATTCGTATAATTACAGTATGCAAACAAATTTTAAATAAAAACAATTATAATATTGTGAATAGAATTAGTCTTTAGCTGAATGCACTTAAAATACCAGGACAAAAAATAATAGCAATAAGTTCAGTTGGTATCGTCTCTTCTTTGATTTTGATAATGAATAACCAAGGATGGTACCATCGTCTATACAAGCAAATCAGTATTGATTACAAGAAGAAAATTCCTTTAAAAAAAATTGTGTTGAACGACCATGTATAATAGATAAACTGCTGTACTTTATAAACATGGTCGTGGTGTATAAATATACAAAACTAACATCCAATTTACATGCAAAGGAATGGATGAAAATATGGGATCATAGTTGCATATGCTCCACGTCATGGAAGAATCACTTATATGAGAAGTAACAAGAGTTTTACATCATTATCGTTCCAACCTAACAAGGGCAACACTATGGCCACAATCTTCCTAGCTATTCAATTTTTTTCAACATTAGCAGCATAATCAGTGTTCTAAATTCTAATATTTCGGTAATGGGCTAGGATTTATGTTTTTTTTTGGCCTTTCACACTCTCATGAAACAGTATGTTAAAAGTCTATTTGCAATTGCTGCAAAACTAAAGTTTGCTCAACCACAATCACTGAAAATCTTTCTTCCATATTCAGCCACATTAAACAAAAATATGTATTTATGGATCTCAACCGTTGGATTTGTAAGGAAAAATCTGTTACATTTTAAGAGTGGAAGTCCAAATAGGTCTCAAGTTAAGTTATAGTGTTGATTCGCAAATCGTCCAAGAAAAACAGTTTTGTGTTTCAAATCACAAACATCAACCTCACAACCATGGTACCAATTTGGTGTCATTAATCATTGAAAAGAAAAAAGTAATATACTAGATCATTTTGCTATGTCACATTATTACCGACCAAAATCTTGAAGTTGGAATTACATCTTAACTTACTTTTGCTCCTCCTTTGGTGCTGGTTGTTGTCATTAGCCTTAATTATTGACCCTATTGACTAAATTGATTGGTTATTGTTGGTTCTAAAACAAGAAGAAAAAATAAATAAAACAAGAACAAATTTTATGCTAAAAAAGATAAAAAATGTTTAAACGTGAAAATCTAACAAAAAATAAAATGTAAACGCAAAAAAAACATAATAGCAAAACGAAAAAGATTGAAAGAAAAGAATACAGCAAATTTATGTTGTTCAACCAATTTTTGATGGTAGAAACATAGCCAAAAGACTCGTCACTAGGACCATGATTAGGAAGATGCACTAGAATTGAATGTATGTTAAGTTTAGTGGGTCTAAACTCTTCTTGAATTGGGTTACTACTTAAAGCTCAATACTTCTCTTTAGTTTGGATCTTAGGAGACACTTCTCCTTAAGCACCTCTAACAAGGAAACCTTTCTTGTGGATTGGTGCTAATTTTGCTCACTTCTCCTTCTTTAGAAGCATCGGCATGCCATTTGCTCTTCTTCTTCCATTTTTGTTTGGTGAAATCCATTGGAAAAGCATCAAGGAAGATCAAAGTGGGATCAAGGAGTCTCTTGGATAAATTCGCCCCCATTTAACCAAGGAGATTCCACCAAATTTAGCTTACATCCACGCGAAAAAGCAGATTGCACTATCTAAAAACAAGATTAAGTCGTTACAATAGAGCAACTCTTGCTCTTCTCATAAACCCTTTGATCTTTTTAACTTATTTTCCTTTCTTCTCTACGTATCTTTTTTCCAACTTTTCATGTTCACACTTAGCACTTCACTTTCATGCTATCTCTCTATGCCACTCTTAGAAAAGATCACCAAACATATATATATATATATAGAGATAGAAGATTTGTTTACTTTAAAAATAAGTTTATCTAAACTTATTTTGCTCAATAATGTATATTTTACATCAAATTTTAATGATTTAACCGTTAAATTTAAAATTTAAAATTTAAATTTTTTTTTGTAAATTTTAAAATAATTAAAAACTATTTAATACTTTATTTTATTAAATTAAATTTAACAGATAATTATAAAATTAAAAATTAAAAGGAAAAAAATTGTAGTCTGAATGCTTTCCTGAGCATTCAATTTCGGACTGCCAACTTTTGGAACTTATGCAGAGGAAAACGTATCTTCATAAGTGCCTAGGTAAAATGTATTAGTCAATTAGAGTTGAGCACTTTGAACAAAGTTTTTAGTATAAGATTAGATTGGAGCATGATGTCACCAAATCGGTTTTGCGATTTTAGAGGACTTGATTAGTTGAATGATAAAAAAGTATAATTGGTAGATTATCCAGAAGACAAGACAAGTAAAAAATATTTTCTCTTCGACTCTCCGTACTGCCACGATGCAATTCTGTTTTATTTATTTTCTGAGAGGGGTATGTTCTATCCCTTTGTTGGAATTAATTTTAGGACGATAAAGACCTCAACTAAAATCTGTCTTTACCTTTATCTAATAAACAACAAAAGAGTCAGCATCGAATATTATAAAAGACTATTTAAAATAGAAATTCGATACCAATTGAAACACCCCACTTTAATTTGATACCCAAAAATTTAAAAAAAAAGAAAAAGAAAAAGAAAAAAGCAGCCCTAACAATAATGTGAAGTTTGAACTCTTGTGGTCGTTACAAATAGGGTTGGTCATTACTCATTCATTATCATCACTGTTCCTATTTATCTGTCGAATCCCAATATCCCATTCCGTTTTTGCTTCTCTCCCTTTCGACATTGTAAATAAAAGAAACAGTTTTCACATTGGTAAGAGAGATTGTTGTACACTTGACGACATACATGTCTTCTTATGTTTCAAGCTTTGCTACAAAAATCCCACGTATGGGAAAGGGGTACGATGATGTGTTCAGAGTGACCCATGTCGTGAAACACTATAAAGTGCCCTGCAATCTCTCAAAGCAGCACATTGGTTTTGTATCGAAATTCGACCAAATTTGCACCTCTTCTGTGATGGAGGAGGAGCAGGAAAAGTTGGGTTTTTTGTCTGAAGAAGGAGAGGAATATTGGACGGAATTGGAGGTGGCTGTTAGAGCAGTGCAGATGGCGTGTAACCTCTGCCAGAGAGTGCAGGACACTTTAATTTCTAACATTGGGACTAATCATCATCAGGTGCAGTCCAAGGATGATAATTCTCCGGTTACCGTTGCAGGTGAATGTTATGTTGTTTTGGTACAACTTTTGTTTCTCATAATTATCTGTTTTTCCTCTCAATTCTTTCTTGGTTTGAGGGAGGGGGGAGTTTAAGTATGCTTGTGTTTTCCAAAAAAATATTGAAGATTGTTTTCAAATCAAATGGGTTCAACCCAATTTGCCACGTGGCTTTGTACATTCGATACTATGTTATCTTGCAGCATGTAGCAACTATGAGGTAATGATGGTTTTTTTAATAATCATCACCTCTGTTCTAAAATTGTGGACGCTTTTTTTTATTTATGTAAGTTGTTGACGTTTAAGGTTAGTACTTCTATATATAAATGAAAGAATATTTAATACATGTAAAATATAAAGATATTTAGTTTAAAATAATCTTACTTAACATAAGATGTAGATGTGATATATTGATTGTTGAAGTGTTTTTAAAATAAGTATCTTCATAAAGATCAAATCAGGTTATTTTAAATAAGAGTATGCGTGGAAAAAACATTTAATGAGATTCAAAATTTGTAAAGCATCTATATAGTGATTGAATAAAAAGAAAAGATTAAATCATCTGTAGTTTTGGAACTGGGGTGGTAGCATGTAAATGCAAGGATCATAGCAAACATACTGAACTTCAGTCAAAATGTCGTTGAAAAACAGTTTTATGTGTGTTAAATTTGTGAGGAGACTTCACATTATGGCCTTTGTGGCTTTGCCTAAGTTGTGTTCATATCAAATCAAATTATGACAAGTGGCTTCTTCTTAGATTCTTAAAGGCCAAAGAGAGGAATGCTAACCTTGTCTGCTACTCGAGGACATAACCAAATCAATACTTATTTTCTAAACTGGTTTAAGTCCAGACATAGTCATTGCTGTGGAAAGTGACTTTTGAATTTGGAGGCTTCATGGAATTTCAAAAGTTTACGTTTCTAATACAGGGAAATAATAGGGTTGGTGAAACAAGGCGCCTTTCAAACTCTTTTCCTGGGGACTCTTTGGTGATACTGATACAGTACTATAAAATATAAACTACTGCTAACAAAAGGGTATAAATTGGATAGAACCTTAGTAATACTCTTTACTATTTTATAAAGTGATTTCCAACAAAGTGGAGACAAGGAGCATGACTTTGTGGAGTCCATATATTGTATTCATCATTTGGTTAATATGCCATAGAATTTTTATATATTCCTGGAGATATTATCCTAGCTCAATTGCCTGTTATAAATCACAATTTTCACCATATTGGATGTGGCTTCCAGGTAGAATGACATATGATTCACTTTTGATTTGTATTCTGCAATATTTAAATGCTGGCTTCAATGACCTCATATTGTTTTACAAGAAAACCTCTTTTGACTGAATTGATTTTTTTACCCCGATACTTGGAAATATATTATTTTTCCTCAATTTTAGTTGAATCAATTCAGATTCATGGATATATGACATTTTTTTATGTTGCTCATTGCTCCCCCCGCCCTCCAGGAAAAGGACAGTGATATCTAGAACTTGCTCTTTTTCCTTTTGTAAAAAAAAAATAGAAAATCTTTTAGACCAAAAGAATGAATACAAAGGAGGAGGAGGATAGGTATCCTATTGAAATAGTCCCTCCTCCCAACCCCAAAAAAATGAGGAAAAATGAGTCCTGATGTTTTTAACAGAAAAGACCTCTATAATCGCTTAAGAAGATTATTGGAGAGGCTATATACTGCGCCACCAGATAGAGGCTCTAGGTCCTTGTTCTAATAAACACCTGGCTTGGTTAATTAATTACTTTTGATGTGTTTGGTTTGGAAGCAGCATTCTGCTTTAGAAAGATTAGAAGTTTTTTACTAAAAACTGGTCATATTGTTCTCTATTGAAAATTGATTAGTTAGACCTTTCTCGGTGTTCATTTTACATTTTCAACTTCAGATGTTGCTATTAGCATTGATTTGAATAATGTAAATCCAAATTGGGAATATATTTAATTAATCACGATTTTATGATTTTCATTACAAAATTTATCACATACCATATTCTCCGTGTGAAGTTTCAGTGTATGTATAATAAATAGATTACAATGACTTAAGTAAAGATCTATCATCAAATTTGTGCTGTGCCCCTCAATATATTTCCTTGTAACTTTCGTCATATGATGATTGAAACTTATAAGGCTATGGCTGAGTTTTGTAAATAAAACATTTTGAGCTTGATTGATACATTCATACTCACAATCATTTCAATCTTCATTTTTCTATTTAAATAGATTGGAGTGTTCAAGCAGTTGTCAGCTGGATGTTGTCAGAATGTTTAGGGAGTGAAAATATCTCAATTGTTGCTGAAGAAGATGTTCAAACTCTAACCAAGGCTAATGCATCTCAACTGTTAGAAGCCGTGGTTGAAACTGTGAATAAAAGTCTAGCTGAAGCACCTCGATTTGGAGTTCAGGAGCCAAAATCAGCTCTTAAAACATCAGATGTTCTTGAAATCATTAGTCGCTGTAACTCAACTGGGGGTCCCACTGGAAGATTTTGGGTACTGGATCCTGTAGATGGCACATTAGGTTTTGTACGTGGAGATCAATATGCTGTAGCTCTAGCACTCATAGAAGATGGAGAAGTGAAACTTGGTGTTCTTGGATGTCCTAACTACCCAATGAGGAAGGAATGGTTAAGTTATCATCACCGCTATCATAGGATAATATCCAAATTGACTCCCCCAAGTTCTGAAACTTGGAACAAAGGTTGTGTGCTATATGCTAAAAAGGGTAGTGGGAAAGCTTGGATGCAACCGCTGCTCCATGTCAATAAGATGTTTGTGTGGCCAAACCATGCAAAACAAGTTTCTGTCTCTCCCGTTGACAATCCTGCGCTAGCCACTTTTTGTGAACCAGTTGAGAAGGCGAATTCAAGCCATTCTTTTACAGCAGGACTGGCTCATAGTGTTGGTCTCAGGTGCATTTCTTTTTTCATTCCATTTCACTATCAATTACCCTCTTCCTCCCTATTTGTATGCTCTTGATTTTTGCCTGTGTGGTGGTCAACCTATAGACATATTAGCATGCCATTATTCCTATCTGTTGTTGTTATTTATTAAATATCCTTATTAAATCAGTACTACATGTATATTAAAGATTAAAATTCTTGATTAAGGTCCAATCATTATGTTGATTTGGTAGTCTTGAGATAAAGAGGCTTATTAAATATGATGGAAAGCAGAAATTTTGTGATGTGTAGTTGCATATTCCTTACTTAAAGGACTAGTCACATTCTGACAGTCCCATTTATCTATGTGCAAATGATGAAAAATTAAAAATATCTTTAGGAAAAAGCAACCAAGACAAGTAAATTTATTATCATAGTTTTAGCTTTATAAGATAGTTCTTTCATCCTTTATGCAGGAAACAACCGTTAAGAGTATACAGCATGGTGAAATATGCAGCAATAGCTCGTGGCGATGCTGAGGTTTTCATGAAGTTTGCAAGGGCTGGTTACAAGGAGAAAATATGGGATCATGCTGCAGGTGTTATCATCATACAAGAAGCTGGTGGGATGGTAACAGATGCTGGAGGACTTCCCCTAGACTTCTCGAAAGGCTTATATTTGGAAGACCTTGATCGTGGTATAGTTGCTTGTTCTGGAGCCACACTACATGAAAAGATCATTGAAGCCGTTGATGCCAGTTGGGGCTCTTCTAGCCTTTGAGGCTGTTTCTGTTAACTTAAATGTATACACGGAAAATAATGTTAATAATGATTCACCTTTTATTTTCTGTTTTACATAATATCTTCACCTTCAGTTATTTTTTATGTATTGCTAACAACATACGAGCTTGTTAGCGTACAATTGTATTGTTTGGCATTGTAATAACACGAAGTTGTCATGAGTTCTTAGCATAGTGAATGCCATTTATTGAAAATGATTCTTCTTGGGAGGGATTCATGGACCAAATACTGTTGCAACTCTATACAGTTGTTCACCTTCTATGTGTAGCATTCAGCTTCTGGGCAAATGGCTAACCCTGTAGTCCTCCTTTTTATTTTACCACTTTGTCACATGTATAAAAATCAGAAAGAAAATAAATGGATTATTTACTTATTTTCATGTTGTACATCATTTGGTCACCGTGCAAGACTGCAAGTGCACATGAACACATTAAAGTGGTCCTACTTCATGATGCAATTCATTTTGAATACGTACCTTTGGAAGTGTAAAATTTAAATACAATAAATATTGTCGGTATTATTCTATAATCAGAATTAGGGTTTTTTCTGTTCTCTATTATAAGTATAAAAAAAATATTTTTAAATAAACAAATTTAATTATCTTTTATCATTTAATAATATTTTCTTTAAAATATCACTTTTTTAATACATAATTTTTCAATTGTACTATTTCTTTTGATATTTATAACAAGAATAATTTAAAAAGAATTTTATGGGAACAATAACTAACTAATTTTTTTAATATGTACAAAATATTATTTTTACTTATAATAGAGAACAAAGAGTATTATCCGGGTGAAACCTTAAACAACAACAATATTTATGACATTTACCTAAATTTTATCCTACTGCTAGTTTGACAACTGTTTCAGAGGAATTCACCAATTGATATTTTTAAATTAATTGAGCAAGGCATTCACCTACTATCTTTTACATATTACTATTTGTATTTAAATAATTTTTATCATTGAATTACGGTTACTACTTCATAGTAGTATTTCATATAGATATGGTTCATGTATTAATTTACAGGCAGTGGAGACAGATAGACTACAGAGAAAACGTGTATTGGTCACATTGAGATGTTTGTAAGACGGGCACACGTAGTTAATGTGGCTGCAAGTGCAACCCAGTTTTTGAGGACTTTTTCTTCTGCATAAATTGTTTTACAGAAGTCAGAAACTTCATTTATTGCATTGAATTTCTCTCTTGTTTTTGGTACAATTTTGACTTTTTTAGAGTTACATAAGAAAAAAGAGGCGAAATGGTACAAGGCAGCCTTGTCTTGATCAGTAAAATACAAACGCACAAAATGTTGCTAGAATTGAGCTGTGCCAAAATAGTATCAAGTTTAATTCTTTGAACATGCTTAATGTAAAATGAAACAACTTTTTTCTTTTTAAATTTCAAGCTTAAAAAAAAAACCTGACAATGGATTGGTACAAGTACAAGTATATATCCAAACTTGAAAGTCATAAAAATAATCTGTGGTAGGCCCTGCCTTGTTGAATATCACTCTCCCACCGTCTTCAACTTGTTCAGTGGGGGATGATATGGCAAGTTCATTTCAGCAATCACACCGTACATTGTGGCTCATGTTTGGTTCCCATCATGCAACGGACTGGTTCTAGGAAATTAAATAGTTTAACTCTCTAGTTCATAATAATTGGTTTTCAAATATAGATGATAGAATCATTGTGAGCAGTAAAACTTTATTTTCAAGTATTTTAACTGCATATTTAAGATTCAAACTCAATATCACTAAATAAGATTGGAACAATCCTTGTTGGATAATTTACTCACTTGCTGGTTAGTCTGACACAACTTTGATTGAAATGTAAAATACAATCTTTAATTTATAGTTATCAGGTGTTTGAGATATAGTTAGACATAATTAGGAAGTTATTCGTTTAGTTAGTTAATCGGTTTACTTTTTGTATATAAATCGTGCATTTATCTCCTCTAAAATGAGATATTAACTTTAAAGTAAAGTGAGTAATTATAACCATTTAATTTAAATTTTATCTAGTTTATTATATTTTTAAATGTATCTAATCACCTTTTCAATTATTAAAACAAATAGTTATAATATCATACCCTTTTGCTTTTAAAGTGTACTCAACTTAGAGGAGTAAAATGCTGATTTTTAATTAGAAGAACAATTACACTTTGAGCTATTAATATCGATTATAAAGTACATGGTAACCAATCTCACCCCCATTACTCGATGTCTGCTAAAGGATCAACTAAAAATAATGATCATAGTTTCAAGTATCAAATTCAAGAATTAACGTTTTTCTTCTGCGACGAGAATGAAAGGGGAAGCTCACTGGAAAACTTCTTGATGATTTTTTAAAATGTGCAGTGATGCTTATGAACGTGCATGCATTCTTTTCTGTCTGGCCACTGGAGAGTAGGGACACGCCAAAGTAGAATGAGAAAGAAATGTCATGTGTTTTTCTTTTGACATGCACTTCTTTTTTATCTATAAAAATTATAAAGACACTGTCAGAGTTTAAACTTATGGTTCTCAACATACTATTTCAATCTTTGTTATTAAGCTAACTCTAATATATAGTTACAGTCTGTTTATAACTGTACCTAATGAAATAGTACTTTATGAGTTCAATTACATTAGATGAGTTACATTTTTAGTTAAAAAAATATAACAAAAAAAACAGCTTGTAGCACACACCGTTTTCTTCAGTCAAAATTGTATTATTTTCAGCGTTTTTAAACTCAATTATGAATTTAATTTTGAACTGATGAAGAGAATGTATAATAAGGAAAAAAAATTGAATTAAAAAACTCCTAATAGATTTTTTGTTTTTATTCTAAGACCTTGTGTTTGTATATAATTATGCAATATATAAGCTGTTAATGTTATTTAATAAAAAAGATGCATAAACAATTTATTTCATCTAGGACTTCAGTATTCTGACGCAGAATTCACATTGCACGACATCAAACTACCAGTATGATTTGAGTTGGTTAAGATCATTAATTCTAAGTAATAAATTAAAACCTCCTGATTAAATTTTAACACAGTTGTATTCTTTGAAATTGGATAATCTATATATGCATATAAAACTGGATAAAAAAAAAAGTAAGTACATTATATTTACGCGTGATGAGACTTTTTTTTTTAAAGAAATACACAAAATAATGACGATAATAATTGGAATTTTCAGGACTTTCCTATATAATTGCATTTGATTTTTGGAAAAGGGAAGGAATATAAAAGTTTGAAGTTGGGAAGCAGAAAATGAATCTGTTCACGACATAGGATAAAATTGGTGATATTTCAAACCATGTATGTCTTGTAAGCACGACATTAATTAAAAGGGTTGTTGCGAGATAATCCTGGTAACTGTGAACATTTACTTGTTTTCTAAAATGTCGGTAACATTATTTCATTTTTAATTACAAAAAAAATGATGTTAACATAGTAAAACATTAATTTCATTTTTATTGGATGAAAAAAAAGAAAAACATAAAATAAATTATATAATATATCAATTAATATATTTTTCATACAATAAATAATATAAATTTTATAATATTAAAGTAGATAATACTCTAATAACATTACTTGTGTATTAAAAAAAACAGAGAAAACACGGTTACAAAGAAAATAATAGACAAAAAATGATTATTATATGTGTATATTTATTATATAAAATATATTAAATAATACGTTGAATAATAAATTTACTAAAAGTTTTAATAAATAAAATTATTATTTATTAATTTTAAGATAGAATAATATTATATATAGAATTTGTAAAAATAATTAATTGAAGCAGTAATGTTTTAAATATAATATAGTGTTTTAAATATAACTAAAGAGTTAAGTTGTATAGTTGTTTATACGATGAGATTTATAATGACGATTCTGGACTCTAATCCTCATAATTTATCTTTTATCATTTTTTTATATAGATTTTATTTCATTGCCACGTTATCATCGGTTAACATTTAAATAAATTGTATAAATTTAAATAATGAAAAGCAAAACTCACTACTAGAAAAGTGTCAATTTTTTTGCGAATTTTCCTGCAAAAAAAATATTCGCAGAAATTTTTTGTGAATTTATTTTAAAAAAATAATTTACAGATATTTCTTACAAATTTTGTTACAATTTTAATGATCATAGAGATTTTTTTCCATGGTAAAAATTTGCAGAAAATATTGTAAGAATTTTATTTTATTTCTTGTAAATTTTCTTGTAAAAATACATTCGCAAGTAATGTGTACTAAATGGTAAAAAAAATTTGCAGGTAACTTTTCCTATAGATTTTTCTGCAAATTTTAATCCGCAGGAAAAATAAAATAAAAAATTTAAATTTATAAGTTTAATATTTAAAAAAAAAACTTCAAGTTCCACATCGATTGAAAATAAAAAAATTAAAGAGTATATAAGTTGGGACAACAATTACCTTACAAGTTGATTTGTATGATTGAGTGTTAGACTTATAATCTACAATCTTAGAATCTAAAAGATTATCTATCACATGTTAGAGGCATGAAAACAAATGCTTCGGATGAATTCATTGTAAGCATTTGAAAGTTGAAGAATTATTGATAGAATTTACAGTAATTTAATTTTTTTTTCGTAAAACATATTCCTGCAAAATTTCTTGCGAAAAAATTTATAGGAAACTTTCCTACGAATTTTCTTGCGATTTTTTTTGCAGGAAACTTTCCTGCAATTTTTTTCACAAGAAATTTCGTAGGAAAATTTCCTGCAAATTTTAAAATTCACAAAAAATATATTATCCATGAAGGTATTACCTGCAGATAAAATTTTGTAAAAAAATTTGTAAGAACAATGTTTCTTGCGAATTTTTCATAAAAATTCGCAGGTAAAATCGCATATATAATAAGAGAAATTCTAGTAGTGACTGTATAATTAAAAGTAGAATTTAACCATTAAGATAAAATTAAAGTTTTGATCTATTTGCAAAGGAGACAAATTTTAGGGGAGTTAAATATTATTTTTGCAATCTTTATCTTTTATTTGTTCATTTTTTTTTTCAATTAGGCTTTTATAATTTACATCAAACCAGATTGATCGATGAAATTCTACTTTTATTTACTAGTATTTACATAATGAAGAATACTAACAACACATTTTTTTTAACGCATTCATTTTAATAAATTTTATTTAATTAATTAAAATTTATTTAAAACTTCAAAAAAATAATTTGAAAGACTCAATAAATAGAGTGTAAAATTTATAATTTTTAATAAAATTCAACTAATCAAAGTAAATATATTTAAAAAAATATGTTCGAAAATGTATTTCTATCATTTTTCCGTGGATAATGGCCTCAGTTTCCGTGCAAGTAGGAATAAAAAATTCATTTGAACTATATACACACATTTTATTTATGTGTTATTATGTTGAAATAGTAAAAATCGCCATTATTTATGTTAAATTTGTTATTACATAAATATATGTCAGGTGTCTTGTAAAATTTATTTTAATTTTAACCCAAATCTTCTTTTCTGTGCCTATTACTTTGAGTTTTATATTAAGGATAAAAATTAAAAATTTGTACGAAAAATAAGATAGATGAGAACGAGTATTTTTTTAATAATATAATTATGAGAAATAACATTGAAGAATTAGTTCTTCTATAGAACCAGTCCTATAAAATAATATATTTATTTTTTCATAATGGTTGTAAGATAGGAGCCCTCCAAAGTTGACAAATTTAATGTACTGATGTAACCTTACAAGTCGCATGATGAAAAACTTGAAAATTTAATATCATTAGCCAAAGTACTTTATGAGTGGACTATAGTGGATATATATCCAAATATTTCTTTTGAACAGGGGACAGGTCGGTAATAAATAAAGTAGAATATCAACGAGTGTCTTAAAAAAAATACCTTTTTAAATGAAATTATTATATTTATTATTATTAATAATATATTTTTATTACTTTTAAAATTCATAAATATCTCTCATGTGGATTTTTGTTATTATGTGAAAGTCTCTCTCTCTATGAAATAAGATATAGCCTAACTAAAATTTACGAAATTTTACAAATAAATAAATATAGATTAAGATAAAATGTACAACATATAGTATGTATAGTGTATTCTACATGTAGTTTTATAAAATGTAAAATATTGAATTAAAATAGTAATAAAATATTTTTATTAAATCGATAAAAAAAATAGTTTAATAACAAGAAAAATATATTAAAATAGAAAATTTAGAATTTAATTTTTATATTAAAAATTAATATGATTGTATTTTAATTAATGTTGATTTATAAATATATTTTAATATTTAATATTAATTTAAGAAGTTTATCTATTGATTAAAGAAAAATTAATTAATTATCATTAGGGATGTCAATGGGGCCCCATGGGGGCGGGTAATAGTAAATCTGCCCCCGCCCCGCTAGATGAAAGTTGTCCCCATACCTACCCCATATCTGCGCGGGTATCCATTGAGCGGGTATCCATGAATTTCTTGAATACCCACGGATATCCATGAATATTTATAAATTTTTAAAAAATTAAAAAAATTATATTTAAATAATTTTAAGTCTATATTTAATGTCATTGAAATATTAAAAATAAAAATTTAATGTTAATTTTGAACTTGTATTTAACGTTAATTTTTTTGAAATAATAATAAAAATATAAGATAATCAATGACTTAAAATACATCAATCTCACATGTAAGTTAAAGTCTCATCACAAAGCTATAATAATTCAATCTCATAATTCTAAATGAAAGTAAACAACTTAAAATACATAAATTTTATTGGTCAAATCAAAGCTAGAAAATTAATCAAATTATATCCAACATAATTTTATAACATGCTTAACACATGTTAGTAACTTCATCAACCTCACTTTTGTAAGAAAATAAGACGAGAGAGTGTAGTTTTAGGGTTATGTGGTACAAGGATAATTAGAATATTTAAAAAATATTATTAAACGGGTACCTGCGGGTATGGATATCATCATACCCACCCCCGCCCCATTTATAAACAGGTAAAAAATTATCCGTCCCCATTATCCGCGGATATCCAATTAGTCTATCCATTTATTATTCGTAGCGGATTTTACCCGCAGATACTCGCGGGTGCAGGTATTTTTGACATCCGTAATTATCATAGTAAGATGTGATATGACATGGAAAAAGACCTGGTTTCATCTAAGGGTGTGTTCACGGTTGCGTTTTAAGTTTGTTTTGAAGTGTATAAAACTAACTTATTAGTCGGACAAAAAAAGCTTATAATTTATAAGTTTTAAGTTAAAAATTTGAAAATTAAAAATTTATTTATTGAAGTGGAAGTATTCAATAAGATTAATTAATAAGTATAAAATTATATGAAAAAATATATATTTAGTTACTTCAGATAGAAACATATTTTAAAAATTAGTAAGGATAAAAAAATAAAATTAAAGGTTAATAACTTATGAACTAATAAAAAATAAGTTATAAACTAGTTGAAATAGTTTACAAGAAATAAGTTATCAGCTATTAACATAAGTTTGTATATCAAACAAACTTTAATTAAAAAAAAAACATTTAACCTCATCACGAATCATATGAACAATATATACTTTTATTAAGGGTATCTTTAGTTTAAAGGAAGGGGGTGGAGGGGAAGTAAAAGGGAGGACTGGAGTTAAGATTCTTAATTTCACGGGAATCAGAGTACCACGTAATTAAACAAATGTTTTATGCATGGGATTGTCTAGGATGGAATGAAATAAGAGTTAGCCACTTATACACTTTTAGTGTAAAATTTTTTTATACTGACAACCAATTATATCTTTTAATTATGTCATATTACTGTTAAAAGTAAATATGTTTATAGTAACATGACACAATTAAAAAATATAATTGATTGTTAATGTAGAAAAACTTTACGCTAACAGAGTATATAGATGATTAACTCATGAAATAATAGGTAGTGAAAGAAATTTATATATGTATCATGTTGTCAACGAGCTACTAGTTGTCGGAAGGATCAATGGTTACCTTCAATTCTATTCTTTCATAGTCTCCAGGTGTCATCCCAATAACATTCAAATTATATATGGACCACTTGGCAGTATATATATATAAACATGAGCAATATTTGTTCAGCCTGTCAAAGAAAGAAAGTAAACCCTAAACCCAACAAATTAACAACTTTTGCAAATATATGAATCTGAACTAGTACTTTTGTGGTGAAATTTCCCTTATCCAGAGATTTCCATCGTCTACAGTTACTGACATGCAAGTGTGTATATCAGAATCAACTATCACTGGATTGGAATCACGCAACCAACTCTTAGACCGTTGAGTATCATATCTCTTATCTATCCATAGTTTAATTTGCCACGTTTTATAACTTTAGGGTTAGACTATAAGCTACAATTTAACCATGTATAATAGGGACTACGCATAGCATTCAATTATGCAAAAGGTCTTCAAACGAATTGTACAACAAATTTGACTAAGGAAATTGAACTTTTTAATTATACATATATATTCCCTAAACACACGTTTAACTTGAAAAATAATTCATTTTCTTTTAAGGAAAAAAAATTAGATTCAATATTATTATAATATTATAGATATTAGTAATATTATTTTTTAATCAAACTTGTAGTTTCGTTTCAATAATTTATAAAATAAATGATTTCATTAAATATCAACTTATATTAGTTATCAACATAAAACTTCAATTCATATTAAAAAAACATTACCAACAATATTTGTGGTTTGTCTCTAAGTTTTATTTTTCTTTAATTCATCTTTTGTATTTTTTTTTTATGAAATAAAAGTTTAGATAAGTTAGATCTTGATAATTCACCAAATTTAAGATAAACCTTAAGGTTCTATGAATTTTTATAAAGCTATTTATAGATTATTTATTAATAAGATTTCCATATTGACAAAAATTAAATTCACATATCCTTTTAAGATGAGTTTATTTTTTATTAACTGGACTAACTTTTGTTAGTTAATCTCTTATATTCTTAATAATACATTGATAACCCACTTAAGATTATCAACTGATTTACTAAATGAAAAAAATGACATCATGATATATGATGAAATCGGGCTATATTTGACCTCCAGTTTTTCCAAGACACCCAAGCAACACATGTTTTCCTTTCTCGGTTTTTTCATTCTAATTATGTTCTTACCTCATGTTTTTTCATGCAATACGCTTGAAGAGAAAAGATTATTTTTAAGAATATTGTTCGAATGTTTTTATCATATATGTGTGTCTAAAAAAACATTGTCAGTTCAAATTTACATTAATAGAGAATATGGAAGTTCATATCAAGTCCTTAATAGTTTATGTCAACTCACGTTGACCACACCTTACAATTAATAATTTTAAATAAAACTTGGGTATGGTGCTATAAATGTTTATAGTACTATTTGGAAATAAAAATTAAAGTTTCATAATGACTCAAATTGTTAAAATATAGCTCTAATTTTAATTAAAAACAGTATGAAATACACGTGTAATATTGCATTTAAGGTTTGGTGTTTGATATTATCACAAGATAGTTGATTCATTCTGATGAGGACATGGCGCGTAGTGATTTCTTACTTTGACATGGTAGAGGTAGTGAAATTAGCTTTGCATAATAGTAGTGGTTAGAATTGTCCATTGAAAGAGAAAGTGGCATGTATAATTAATGGAGCCAACCTACTAGAAGATCATAAATCACTCCCATCTGTCCTCCACACCCTCCCAATAAATGCTTTTTCCTTCCCACTAACACATTTAAATATTCTTTCTCAATTCTCATCATCACACACATAACCTGCACTACAACAAAAAGAAAAATCTCATTTCATTTCAACTTGAAAACACAAACATGAAACTTACAATCACTTTTCTCATGTTCACTCTACTTCTCATAGCATCACATTCACCTTCTTTTGCTTCCACCCCTAATCATGTGAAACACTCCAAGAACAAAAACAACAACCAAGGTGGTGGTGGTGGTGATATAGGTGGTAATCCAGGTGGGTTCTTTGGGCCTGGAGGAGGGTTCAGCATACCCGGTTTCGGGAACGGAAACGGGTTTGGAAATGGCATCATAGGAGGAGGATATGGATCCGGGTATGGAGGCCCAAGTGGAGGGTCCTCAAGAGGTGGTGTCATAAGACCAACCGTTGTGTGCAAAGATAGAGGCCCTTGTTACCAAAAGAAGCTCACATGTCCCGCCAAGTGCTTCTCCTCTTTCAGCCGCTCCGGCAAGGGCTACGGTGCTGGTGGCGGTGGCGGTGGCTGCACCATTGATTGCAAGAAGAATTGCATCGCTTATTGTTAAGGGTAACACTTGTTATCATCATTATCGCTAGTACTATACTATTATTATGTATGCAAACTTATTAGATAAATAAACGCTAATTAGATACATCTCTATGTAGGTGGTGGTTTCTTTTCATTATTATGTCTATGGATGAAAAAATATATATATATATATATATATTATGAGACAGTGCTTGGTGGGTGAGAGGAGTGGAGTGTTGTTATGGACTCATGTAATTTTGCTTACTATATATTATATGAAGATAGTTTATTATTATTTATTAATTAGCTGTAGTTCCATTTAAAGTAATGATGTGGGTTTAGTTCTGAACTGTGGTCGTTTTCCTTTGGATGCATTAACGAGGGTGTAGCCCACAGTGGAAATGCAGTTTCGACATGAAGTTGATATATTATTGGATGTCATGACTGAAGAGAGGCAAATATTAGGTCGTAGATGTGATATGAACCTTCTTGCCCCAAACTCTAGATCTCAACCCTCACCCAACAATAAATGTAAAAATTTACGTTCTATTTATGGGTGTCTTTGTTAAAAAAAATACAAACCTTCACCTTCGATGTGTTTAAAAAAAAAAATAGTAATTGGAGTAATGTACGGTCTAAAGTTAGAATTTTGATCCTATCATTATAGTTTTGATAATAAAAAATAATTTAGTTTAATCTTTATACACGTTAAAATTATTTAAATTTAAACTTATATGTCAAACTAATCTAGATTGGTTACAAAAAAATAGTTAACATCTATGTCAAACTTATTTAATTTTTTTTTTCTTAAATTACTATTCATTACAATTTGATATCAAAAATAAAAAAAAATCAAAAATAAAATTCAATTGAAATTCAAAATATTTTGAAAATAATATTATTTAATAATTCTAAATTAATTGAGATTTACTAATAATTAAAGTTATATATATATACACACACATTTTTATAATTATTTTTACGTTTTTTTTAATAAGAACAATTATTTTTGTGTTTGTAACTTCAAAATGTTAATATTCGGCTCATATTCTCCTGCAATGTGTAACAGTAATGAACAATTTTATTATGCATAGGTCAATAATACTAAATCTGGGTATTCAATATCCGAATTTTCTCCCCAGTAAGTTAACAATATGAATCTGAATGAATTCCAACCAGACATGTGAATCGTTTTCAATGGTCACAGCTCTTTTATCTTTTCTCACGGGTTCAATAATTATTATTCGAAAAGTTGACGGTACACATACCATTTGTAGAGGACACGTCAAAACTTTTCATTCTAATAAATTTTAGCTAACATTGCAAGTAGCTACCATTTTGTTTATATTAATAAACTATCATGCTATACACATATTTTGTATGAGTTATGAAGAAATCTCCTCAAGTGGAATTCACTTGACAAAAAAGTCTCATTTTAACCCATATGTATTTCTCTTCCTTACTAGAAGATGTAGCAGTGAAGGTTTTTCTTTTTAAAATAAAAAATAAAAATAAATGTAACCTTAAATTCGGAAGCCGTATTTATTAATTTAACTGTTCCTTGTTTACTTTTGTTCTCCTATATTAATCTAGAGTTATTTATTTGAAGGACTTCATGTTAAAGAGGTAACGAGGAACAAGCTATGACATGTAGAATGTTGATGTTTTCCTACAACTTCATCCTAATATTAGTTAATATTTTTAGAAATATTGAATAAATGAAAAATAAGAAACACTAGTAGTTTATTTTTATTTATTAAACAATTAAGAGGATTTTTAGAAGAAAAAAAATATACAGAAAAATTCAGAGCTATTCAATTCTATTTCTGAATCTGTACATGGTTAAGAACTTGAGATCAATATTGCTAAGGACAAATTTACTCACTGCTCGAGTGCTTGGGCACTTGGTTCAAATTTTGGTCGTACCAACATCATATTAATCGATCAATTCTCATAGTTAAAGCTTAAAAGTAACCATTTTTTTTTTGCATAATCTAAATTGATTTCGAGGATTCTTAAATCCAAGCAGCACTATGAAATTAATCTTAACAGGATAAAATAATTTTCCACAATATCATTATGGGTCTTTTTTTGTATTTCAATTTGTAAAGCATGGTACAATTTCTAAATGAATCTAATGGTTGAAATTAAATAGGCACGATACTCAAAATACGTGGAACGGCTGTTGATTATTTTGCGCCACGATGAGAACCTATTTTATTAAGCACTAGAGGGAAGAGGAACTATGTGCCTCCATGTATTAAAAAAAAATTAAAAAAAATAAAAAGAAGAATGAAAAAATAAAATTTTAATTATGTGGATGTAGAAGTTGAAATGAGAGAAGTAGTAATTTGACCTTTAGTTTAACCATTGTCTTTACAACATTTTATTTCTATTTTATCTATTAAGCGAAACACAGATAACTAGCTTATTAACTTGTGCAAAGCACAAGTTAAATATTTATTATATACAATTAAAAATTTATAATCTTATATATACAAATAAATATTGTCTAAATATATAAATTATAATTAAAATTTATATAAATAGATACTTATAAATATATAAATTATATTTTAAATTTAGAATAAATAATTTATATTATAAGACAATATTTTTTATTTACTAATAATTACTTTAAATATTTAAATTTAATTAATAAATAATTATGTAAATAAAAACTGAATTAGAAAATAAATTTAAAAAGTCTCTAAAAATCCTTTCATCTAAAAAAAAGTTTCCAAAAACACTCTTGCACAAAATACAGATTCGTATTTAATATGTAAGGATCGATTGAAAGAAGATAGAAAATTATAGTATAATTGAGAGACACACTTGTCAAATGAAATGTGAACACCAAAATAGAGTATATTCTTTATTAATATTATAGATGCATGCATTATGTTTTATTTATAATTTATAATACTAAAATGGTTAAATTATATTTTTTTTATCATTTATCTTATTTGTTAGATTTATTTTGATCTTTTATCTTTTAAAATGTTCATTATGATCCTTTATCTCTTAAATTTGGAATAATTTACTCCTTTTAAAATAATAATAATTTGTAATTTTACGATACAATTTTGAATCAATTTTTAATTAATTAAAAACGTAATATTTGTAATAATATATTCAACTATATAAAAATCATGAAATTCAATTGACTTTTGAATTCATAAGAGTTATAACATATTGAAAATCATATGAAAAATATATCTCATAAGCAATTAAAAAAATAATATAAAATTATATTTTTTTTAATTTTTAATTGTCTTTTAGAGTTATTTTTTGTCATTTTTATCATGTCTATAATACTTTTTTTTATTTGAACTTTAATAACATTTAACAATTTTTATATAAATGAATTTAAAAAGATAAATTTCAAATTTTAAATCAATTAAAAAATAATTCAATGTTTCAAAATTAAAAACAATCATTTCAAAAGGATCAAATTAATCTAAATTTAAGAGATGTCATAATGAACATTTTAAAAAATAAAAGACCAAAATAAATCTAACAAATAAAATAAAAGAACAAAAATATAATTTAACCATACTAAAATTATTATAAACTTGGCTTTTGCCTTCACTTTTCGTGAAACAAATCTACAGTTTCCTTTTTCTGTTGGCATAATCTAGGTTGAAAAATAGAAATTTTTTGATGAATTTATTTCGTTAATTAAACAATCTCAATCTGCCAATGAAGAAAATGTAGGTAGTAGAGAATTTATTGATATAATAGAGTTAATTTTCATTTTTTTTTACATCTTTATTCTTTAAGGCAGTCGAGTCATACTAGTATAGTGCGCCCCGTGAGTTGGTAAGAATTGTTCCACAAAAAGTAAACATACTTAATGTGATATGATGAAACGGATAGCAATAAAAAAATGACACGTTATCTTCAATGAAAACTCAAAGCAGTAATTTTGCTGGCTTTGCACATTACTTCAAGTTCAGCCACTACTTTAAATCAGATGACCTTTCTCTGGTTCTTTGAGAAGTATTTAAGACCAATTATAATTGTTCCTGAACAGTTCAAATTATACATACATACACCCTACTTGTGCAATTTTTTTAAAAGAATACTCGTTATTGTCTCGGGTAATTGCATAACCCAGTTTTTTCTTCATTAGAAGATTAGTGCTTATCACTCAATCCAACCACAAACACAAAAAAAAGAAGGAAAAAAAAGACCATGTTGATCAAAAGAAATAAGCATCATAATGCAGTACATCAAAATACATTTAACTAGCTTTTAGAATAAGAGTGAACCAAAACTATATAGAGGATCTCAACTCAACAAATTGTAGCATGTTTCTACCAACCACTGTATGCCTACTCTTTCTGCTTATAATATACACATGAATACATTGACAAACCGCGTGAACAGGTAGCATTTTTACAACAGCAATTCAAACAAGGAAATTTATCATATTGCAGCCCTCATTGCTCCTCTTGCAGCCTCCCGCTTCATCTCAGCAGCCTTACCACTGCCACGGAAGTACATATATACTTGCTGTATGCAACCAAACAAAAAGTGAACAAGTACTTTGGTTATGTTCAGTCAGAGTGCTAAGTGCATCCATTTTCAGAGAAAAACTTGAGAAGTATGTTCAAACCTGAATAACCCAGACGCTGATTAATGTTTCTACGCAGAACAATCCAAATCCAATAAAGTAGAAAATCTACAGGTAAATAGAAAGAAAAAAACTCGGTAAATTAAATTATCAACCATTTAGAAGCAGAGATTTTTCATCGGTCAAGGTTTTGCTTAAAACCGTAACAGTGTGACAAATCCAAAATTGGCTTGGCATGCGACAAAAATGACAGTTAAACAATGAACAACATCCAGGAATAATAAATACTTCAGGACAGGCATACTTACTCCAATCACTGCATGGTCACCCACCACATCTATGGCCGACAGAATGCCTCTGTATAAGAACGAGTACACAGCACCCAGTATTAGACCAAAAAATGAGAATAACACAAACTTCTAGATAGTATTTAGACTTAAATATGTTCTTAATCTCTCAAATTTGATGTAAGTTTATTTTTGATCCAAAAACATTAAATTAATCTTTTTAGTCTCTGACTGTAATTTCAAAAATAAAAATTTTAGTCCTTTAGAAACACTTGTAGCATCATTAACATGGATAAATTGAGTCAATTGTACAAAATCAGTTGAGTCTCATGTGATGTTTTCACCAACAAGAAAACTAATGGGTGAGTTTTTTGTGACAGATTCATTAGTAAGTGGGCTTTGTGTGGCAAATTCACAAACTGCATCTATAAGGACTAAATTAGACTTTTTTGAAATTATAGAGACTAAAAGGATTAATTTGGATTTGTAGAACCAAAAACAAACTTATTCTAAACTTAAAGGACTAAAAACCACATTTAAGACAAGTATTTATTATATCCCATAAATTTATTACTGTCACAAACACAGCTACCAGTTTGACTTTCTTATTCATTTTAGGACCACTTAGATTTCATCTTGGGTAATTTAGATCTATAATATTAATTACATACATGTCCTAGGTTCAAGTCATGTTAAATTCTGTAATTTATTTCATATATATTTATTTCCAACTGTGACGTTGGCTACATGGATCAAACAAAGCTACTGTAATCCGCCAAAGACTCGGTTTTTCAAAAGGCCATTAAAAACTCTCAAATTTCATATTACACAGGTAAAGCCATATATAAAACAATGAGGAATATGCAATATTTTCATGTTAATGAAGTGTACGTTAACATACGTCAGGGATTTTCCTTTGAAAACTATGGGAGGAGCAACTGCTGCTAAGATACAGAATCCTAGATGAAGCTGCAAGCACGAAAAGAAACGATAATAATTAAATTTTGTTCGAAATGTGAAGCAAAACTTGCATGCATAAAAGCAAAACCGTTAATTTACCAGGTAAAACAAGAAAAACCATCCAAAATTCAAAGCACTATCTGTCCTGCAAAAACAACAATGGAACAAATTCAAAATCAAGAGAGAAACCACGTTAGAATGATCAAAATATGCATACATATTTTGTTAGATTGGGCAGGATTGAACCGGGAGGAGGGAGAATACCCAAACCCAATGAAGAGACATATTAGACCATAGGCCAAGTGATATAATACGCACGCTTATTGTTCTGGTGAACCCTTCATGTGCAATATTTGTCAGTATTCTACCACTTTCTTAAAGCCTCAAGGTTGCTCTTTTAAACCCCCATAATGCCCCAGTCTCCCAAGAACAATTTTTTATCTCATACAAGTGGAACTATATAAAAGGAATGTTTTTTTTTTTTTGATCAGCTAAGAGAAATTTGCAATTGTATATTAGTAGGCAAAATTTAAACAGCCAAATGCCAATTAAGTCTGGGAAGTAATTACCTAAAGGCACGATATAATGGGCGATACCACAGGACATATGCTCCAGGAATTCCTGCTATGAAGTAGATAACAGAAAGAAACCATATTTTCACACCTACAAACAAGGACAAGTTCCATATGCATGGAATTTGTTGACATCAGATTTGGATTTTGAACCGTTCAATAACCCAGAAAGACTCCTTCATATCTAAACTGACCTTCTCCCTTAATCCAAGCTGAAGTGACAGCTATAATATTCCATGTGAGGCACAATACCAATCCTGCATAATATCATTTTTCATCATTTACAGTGGACCATATTCCATCATACAACTTGCAGAATATACATAATATATTATAACCATAATCAAATTAAAACAGCATCTTCACCAAGCCAAGAAAAATTTAACAGATAATGCAATCAACATGTCATTGACTAAATAAAATAGGTTAGTTCCAACCAGCTAGGACGTTAGGTCAGTGGTTTAAATCAATCAGACAAAACCAGTTTATCAATATTTTGCTACCTATTCTCATTCATTTCACTACCTATCAAGTCTTCAGTTTTCTCATAGGCCTTTCATTTATATAATTTATGAGGGTGGGACAAAATAATAAAAAAATATTGAAGTTCAGAGAATATAAAAATGGTTCTGTATTGAATTTGAGAAAATGGACAATACAGATGACTATTTCTGGTACATTCAGTATATATGGATCAAAGAACTGCTCCAACTAACAATACCAGCTAGCAAACTAACTCAGACAGTTGTAACTGTCTGACAGAAAAAACAGCCAAGTCCTTGAGCAATAGTATTTTCTCACAAAAAGATTGCTTTGGCTAATTACTAGTACAGGATGTAAAGTATTAGTCATTTACACCAATTAAAATCAATGCTACAATATGCAAGTACCAAACTTTATAACATGACACCTTCGTTAACTTAAAAAAAAAAAAACATTAATCCAACCATTAGGTATAAACTACTCAAAGTAAATCAAGTCTGCAAAATTTTATATAATTTAAAAATTAATTGATACTTGATTGCACCCTTAGGTTAAAACAAAAAACTATATTGATCCAACCATTAGGTTTAAAAACTAATTGATACTTAATTGCACCCTTTTAGATTTAAAAATAAATTATATCAATCCAACCATTAGGTTTAAAAATTAAACACACACACAGAACAAAAACCATCAATAGAGAACAATCAAAGAAGAGACTTCAGATATAATCAACTTAAGAAAGAAATGAAGGAATGAAATAATCAATGTGCATGAGACACCCTCAAGAATTGCTGTCTTAAAAACAATGCAATGATGCAAACCATATTGCAATGGAACAAAAGGTGGGATAACTTACCTAATAATGAAGTAAATGCAACGTATTGCAGTCTTTGAAGATGAATTGGAATTTCATTAGCAATATCATGATGGATAATTGGGAAAAATGGTGGCCAATTCTTCTCCTCAAGAACAATTCCAGCTGTAAAATAATGAAATTACACACATGAAGAATAAAAGCAGAACCAAAGATATTTATTGCCCAAGCAAAAAACAGGAGTTCAAACTTTTCTAAGAGATCAGTTGGCACAAGTAGAATGGGTGGAGTGTTACATGTAATGGAACATCTATAGATTTCTCAAGTAGTAGCACTCTTCCATCAATCAATTGAATGCCAACACAAACAAAAACAGCCAAGGAAACAAGCAAACTTTTTACAAACTTTGTTAGACATCAGAATAAGGAGGACCTGGAAAGTGAGCATTAGAAGGAATAAAACCAATGAGGTCAGTTAAGGCAGTTAGATGCTCAAACAGTAGGCATTTCATTAGTTAATTGGGGAGTTAAATAGGAGAGATCAACTGCAAAGTAGGTAGGCAGACAATATTGAGAGAGAACATCCTAGAACTCAATTGCAAACGGACAACTCTCTTAAAGGAGAATTCAAATTCTCCTTGTTCATTCACTGTTCTAATAATAGAACTCATTTTTTATTCTCTCTACCATCCATTCTTTTATATTCTTGCACCCTATTGAGATTCTTGGATAAACCCTAACAATCTTCAAGTACAAATATAAATAAAATGTAAATTACCTCGTTCAGCAGCTTCTTCTTTCCGTCTGACTTCCTGCATTTAGATACAATAATAGATTAATAGATATAAAAATACAGGTGAACTTCCAGGTATGTGTAGTAAATAGGAATTAGTAGAGAAGCCTTCACACATACAAAGCTAACTGAAAACAAATATTGGCACTCAAATTCTAAAGATAGAACAGAAAACACCATAATTTGTAGAAAATAACAAATAAGAAGATTCATAATTCAAGGATCAACACATCATTTAATCACAACAATTTCAGATAGTTTCATAATGTCCGAACTATAAAAATTAATATAGTAACAACAAAGAATCAATTATTCATTTAAAAAAGGTTAGAAATAAATTAAATAAAATTTTGGAACATTTAACCAGATGGATGGTTGAGTCAATAACTCAATATATAGTTTACACATTTACCACTTGTCTAGACTAGAAATACTTTTTCCATTAATTTACAGATAGTAACTCTGTCATAAAATATATATATTCCACTGTCCATACTAGCTTTTCAGGATAAAATAATTCTGATGCAAGGGTATCAAGATTATATTATGGACAATAGAGGGGGAAGAGCAGAAAAGAGAAAAGAAATCTCAAGACAACAAAAAACAGAATTGTTCCAGGTTCCGACCTCTGTAGTCTGTAGGTATCAACTATGGAAACACTCTCAAGTCTGAACCAAAAAGAGGTTATCAAATCGCATTACATACCTGTTCCCTTCTTCTCAATTCAGCCTCCTTGGCTTGGAGTTCCTTTTCCTTCTTTTTCAAGTCCTAATGTTAAAACATATCATAATTAGAAAAGCCACAACCAATTTTCACAACAATACATCATGTAATGAATTTACATATGAAAAAAAAAAAAAAAAGGAGTTTGGGGATTTCAACAACCTAAACTTATATTATACATACCGTTGATGGATCAAGAGGTATATCAACAGTTGCACCAAAGCCATAGTTATAATCAACAGGTTCAGGATTAAGAGGTGATAGCCTTGAATTTGTGGCAGGGGCAACACTTCCAGGGTTCTGAAAATTTTAAAACATAAGGATGCATAAGGTTTACACAAGAATTTGCGAACTTTTTATTGGGTTTTTCACCTAGGGGAAAGATATGATTAAATGGTTCCCTTTGGGACATTAAGAATTATTTTCATTCTATCAAGATTTTTTTTGTGGCTAATTATTCTGAAAAAGTGAGCCAGAGTCATTTGACATGGATTGTACTTCATAAAAAATAAAGTTGGTCAGGGACCCGGACATTATATTTCAGCGAGCACAAAGATTAAAGCAAAAAATAGTTTGACTCCTACTTTGCAAAAAACAATACTACAACAAGTTAGCCCACTTAAGTTGAACAAACGAGATAGTTCACTAATGCACTTATGGTCATCACCATTAAAAAAAATGCAAAATATTATGATTTACTGATGCTTAATTAACAAACTCACTGTAGTGTAAAATGCACCCCCGCTAAAATTTGATTGGCTTGATGTTTTTCCCCTCACAGCTGGTTCCTGTAAGAGTATACCAAATTTGAAGGATCATGCAAGAGCATGTGGTGCAAATAAATACACACATACTCGCGAAAATTTTACCCAGAAAAATAAATTCAAACTTTAGATGCAAGTAAATATAAAACTATTCAAACTGGGGATGTGATATTTTGCATCCAAATTATAAAATTCTCAAGGACAAACTGTAATTTCCAAATTATATATAAATCATAAATTAATACACTAATTATCGATATCATCTCATTCAAACAAGCAAATAGGCCCATGCAAATATATATACACCTGTATGAGTAGTATATATTATCTCAAAAGTTCAACTCTCCTTAAAGTTTAAGTTATTTTATCGTTCATCCTAAAAGCATCTATGAGGTGGAGAATCAAGAATGGCTTTTTATTTGTAAAGCATCCCTCACCCAAGAGCCCTTTGGGCTTGAAAGTTTCATGGACAATGAACAAGCCGATTTTACTTTATGCTAAAATTTAATTTAATCATAAAAAATGGAGACAACAAAGACTGAATTTACACTTGGCCGTAGAGGAAGTAATACCATGTCAAGAACCATTTCTCCTAAAAGCTTAAGTTGTAGGTGGTCCTTGAATTATTTTTTCTCTAACATATTCTAACTCAAGCATGTATACATTTTTAGTGCAAGAATGTTCTTGGTAGCACAATGTAGACTACAACCAAACCTACTCTAACTCAAGCATGTATACATTTTTAGTGCAAGAATGTTCTTGGTAGCACAATGTAGGCTACAACCAAACCTACTCTTAGTAATCAAGCCTTCTAGCATTCATTTAGTGCTATTTCATTAAGATGGAGTCTTCACTAGCTTGATGTCGAATACAATTTGCTACATGACCATCTTCAAGAAATAGTATAAGCAAGACATGAGTTAGGGCCCATTTACTTTAAGAAAATATTTCTTGTTTTCAGTTGTAATTAAAAAAATGCTACCTTGTTTTTATTTTTTTTCTGTTTTCAAAAGTTTGTATAAGAAATAGTCAAAAAAAAACTTTTTATTGTTTTCACATTTTTCCTGTACAAACATTTGAATGCAGGAAGAAAAGTTAAAAAAAAAAAAAAAAGGTTGGATATCCTTTCTTAGCTTAGCTTTTAGATATGTTACAGCTTGGATGTTACATTCACTATCCTATGTGGGACTTGGGACTTGCAAATATACCCTCCTCTTAGCTTTTATATCCGTTGTATGTTTTTGGATGTTTCACTCACTATCCAATATGAGACATTCAAGCACTAAGCAATACCATAAATATCTTTTCTTAACTTAATTCCACGCAGTATTTGCTTGATGATAATTATTCAGACTCTTATTATTGGGTTTTTATCTTGCAGGACATATAATCTTGTCTAATTTTTTACTTAATATATTATATAATACTATAAAAAGTATGTACCTACTGCCTATAGTTCAACCACCGTCAAACTAGTAAATCAAAGTTTATAGTTGAATGAACATTCCAGTTTTAGAAACTGGTAATTAGGCTGTTTCTTCTATGTCGATGATATATCATCCGCAGCTTCTTCCATTAATTTGTTTAAGCATCTACATATCAGCTAGGCTCCAAACAAAGTTTTCCATGAAAGACTTGCTGTGTATTCTATCAGCTACAGCTACAGCCACATAATAGGATTCATTTTACTATGCAATTGATCTTAAGATATCCCTTACCTTATGAATTACTTACACTTTTATCACCAATATATTCTATACAGAGTACAGACAAGGACTAAAAAGATACAAGTATTAACCTGGATATTTCTCTTTAGCAACACTCTCTAATAGACATTAACACACTTTATTATTGAAAACTATAAAATCAGAAGAGACACAATAAATAAGAAATGAAACTCACAAAAATTTGTGATTTACATTCAATTTCTGCCAATATTAAATAGTGTGTTGTTAGGATTTCTCTGGAGGAAAATATTTGCAAAGTGTTCGGTTGTTTCTTTATTTCAAGCTTTGCATAGGTGTCTTTTGAGATCAATTAAAAAGGAACCTTCTTAAAGGCCAAAACATTAGCAGAAAACATAAGATCCTAAATGGAAAACAAAATCATAGACTACCCAAAATCCCGTTTCTTCGGTGACATCAAAGCAAATCAAATTCAAATTCAAATATAGTAAAAATCAAGTCAACCGACAAAAAACCTCTAGAACTCCCAACCCAAATTCCAAAATAGTAATATATCCATTATTCCAGGCTCAAACACCACTGAACAAGATCGAATTGAGAAAAATATGCACACCCAGTTCACAAAAAATCAACTTTGAGAAAGCAACACCACTGGGGAAGCGAGAAATGAACTTACAGAGAAAGGGTTGACTTCTTCTTCATCAAAAGGGTTACTATCGTAGCGATGAGCCATGAGCGCAAAGATCTGAAACTATAGACAGAAAGAACTAGGTACAAAAGGGATAAAATTAAAAAAGAAAAGAGAAGGGGTTTTTGAAATCTTGAGATTATAAATTTTGAAACTTGTTAAGCAAGGGAATGGCTACAAAAACAACAACAGAGAAATAATGGCAACAATTTAGACAAGAGAATGGTCTTCGGTCAGCTTAGCAGGCTTCCAGAATAATGCCACCAATTTCAACGTTACTGTCATAGAATTGTTTTGAGGAAAAAATATTTCAAAACAGTGAATTGGTTATTATTAATCCTACATGCATTCTTCTACTTCTTATGCATACATATTTGGCCTAACATAGGACTTTGAGTATTTTTTTTGTAAGACATGAGAAAAGTTAAATTTGATCATATAATTATATATTTTCACAGTTATTTTAGTAATTTTAATTTTAATCATTAAGTCAAAATTTGTATTATTAATCAATTATAAGTCATCTTAAATATGATTTTTAAATAGTTACTACACAAATTGATATTCTTATCGTATATGATTAAAAAAAGTGAAAAAAATAATATCAGTATATTGAAATTAATTTAATATTATTTTGAATTTTTATTTATTATGTGCACTCTAAGTTCTGTCATTTTTTTAATCCGGAGATACCTATATTATTTCATTGATAATACGAAGATTAATACATAAAAATCACATTAAAAATATGATGATTAACATAAAATTTACACGCTCTATCAAATAAATACGGTGATTAGCTTATCTCCAAACAAGACAAATAACAAAAGAATTTAAGGTTTAATTGCACTTTTAGTCCTCCTAATCTAGTGTAGGAGCAATTTTGGTCTTCATAATTTGAATTGCTTAATTTTAGTCTATAAATTTAAATAATGGGCAATTTTAGTTCTACAAATAATTTACCATCTAAAATTTAACAGACGTTAATGATGTAAATTTTATGCTAAATAAACATTAATTATATATTATTTAATTTCTTACGTGTCAAATTATTTAATATTCAAATTTTAAAAATTTTTAAATTTAAATAACATTGAAAACAAAATAAAAAGGATATTGATATCAATCGCAGTAATGGTTGGAAAGAGAAGATACTCATGGAGATCGTGACAGAGGTACTGAAGGAGTACACGACGTTGCTAATGAAGGTGGTGGAGCATGTTTTTGGTTCATTTTGCAATAATAGACCCAAATTACTTGATCCAACTTTAGCCTAATTTATTACTTTTAAAACTTATGTGTTTCAGTGTAAAAATTATGATAAATAATTCTAAAAAAATACTTTTTACACGATTATTAAAATAAATAATTTCAAAAATATTTTAATTCAAAAAGTGTATAATTATATACATAATTAAATTTATATATTTTACATAAATATTAAATTAAATTGGATATCAATTAGACCATGATGAAATCACATATGTGCTCAAAATTAATCTATTAAAAAAATCAATGTCAGGAGGATAAACACAACCAATGTCACACACTCTAATGAATTGCTCAAATAAATATTTGGTAGATTGAATCAAGTTAATTTATGAATTGAAAAGGGTATCTTATATTATTACCAGTGTAAAAAGTAAAAGCTAAAATTCCAAATCTTGATTCCGTCTAATCTTTAGAGCTTTAAATCTTGATGTATGTGTTGTTGCCATTGCAACTCTTAGGGAAGCTGAAGCCACCTTTTTTTTTTCTTCTTCAATTAAATATTCTTTCCTTACGGTATTTTCATAAGAAAATAAGTTCAAAATGTCTGCAGTATATTCCAAATAGTTAATTAATCTAAAAATAAATAATTCAGGAGTATTAGGTAGCTATACCAAATCCTTTGAGGCATGCTTCATATAATAAACATAATATTTCGGTTCAACTACTATTCTTTCGTTCTTATCGTTGAGTAATGTTATTCATGATTGTATATTTTTTAGGGTTTTCCACTATCTTTTATAGAGATTTTGTTAACTTATTGAATACTTAATAGATCAGAAAACTTAAATTCAGAAAAATAATAGTTTTACATTTTATCAAAAAGTTGATAAAAATCATTATTATTTTCAAGCAAACTGAATTAACTGCCCACCAAATTCCACTTTAATTAATAAAAAAAAAAATCGGTTTTAAACTCATCTGAAGAAGGAGTTTGGGTGTATGTAGGCATGTGAACGTGAATACGAAAGCATTTTAATTTATTCAATTTTCTTTTAGTTTTAATTCAAGGAAGGATATATCAAAAGTGGATTATGAATAGAAAAAAAAATCATAGGTGACTCCATGCAATGATGCAAAGATAAAAAATAAATAAATAAAGAGGCGTGCTACGTTGCAATGTTCGAACATATAACATTCTTGCAACTTGAACCTATATATCTAGCAATTAAGATATTTGGCTTCATTTTACTATCTAATATTTAAACTTCAATACTTCCCTTAAGTTCCAATAAATAGTGATAAAATTAATAGTTCAAATGTTATAGTATATTGATATATATTTGACTTTCCAAAAACTAAACTAGATTAAAAAAAGGAATAAAATAGCAGTTTGATTCAAAGCCAAATTCTAATATATTTTTTAACACACATTATGAGAAAGTCCCTAATAATTATGGAGTGGCATCTCCTATTTACATATTTTGAATCAAATATGAAAAAAAAATTAAATTACACAAACTATTATATTATTTAATAGTTTTTTATTTGATAATTTTATCTCAAATTTATCATTAATCAAATGAATTTCAGATGCAAAAAAATTTAATACTGTCGGTATAAAACCATAATTAATATAATATATGCTTTTAAAATGCATATATATATATAAGGCAGGATATAAACAAGCAAAATAGATATAGTTATAATTTAATTATTAGATCCTTAAGAATTACAATTTATATAAAATTAATATTTTAACATATATAATGTAATCATAATACTCCTCTCTTACTTTTATGTTTTTTTTTTTTTAATTTCCAAAAGCTTGAAATCAAGACTTTGTTTTAACAAATTAAACTCCTTATCAATTGGTTCGTTTGGCGTTATCAAATCAAACTCTAATTTGCACCATCATGTGAAACTTTTTAAAGCATATTTCATGTACCCTCTGATAATTTAATGTTGCAATAGTACACACGTTCCAGATTGTGATAAAATTTAATATTTTTTCCTTTAAAACAATAAGCGTAAAAATAAAAATAGCTTACACTCCATTCTTTTTCAATTGGCGTTTTAGCAACCTTTTTATATTAAATTAATTATCATTTAACGAACAACTATTTATTTTCCAATTACACCCTTAACAATTAAATGATGTGTATGTTTAGAAAAATTAATTGCTATAAGATAACTAAAATAATTAGTTAAAAATTTTCATAAAATTTAAGTGATTAATAATATTTTTAATTCTTGCATCACTAGATTTAACAATATAAAAAGAAATGGGAAAAAAAAAAAAAGCAATTTTTCCAGTTGCATATTCAGTTGTTGAAATTGTATAGTTGTCAAGTCTTCGGTTCATACTTAAAATCAAAATAATAAGAATGATTAATCACCGATACTGACAGGCCGCTACGCAAACGTGTCCTGTACGCTCTATGAAGTCATTCTAGAAGCTTGAAGCTGTGTTAAATTTAAAATAAAAAAATAAAAAAGGCGAGTAAAATTACCTGTTTTTTTTATTTAAAAAATAAAAAGAAGAAAAAATGACTAAACCCTATTATACACGAATACCATTAATAAAAGTCAATGCCTTGAGTACAATGTTCAATTCAATCTGTTATTAATACATTGTGACGTAAGTTCTTGGTATATGATCGACTTGTAATTGAGCAATACCCACCACTAATTGAAACTTATTCTTAATTATTTTAAAATACTACTTCAGGGAAATACAATCTAAGGAACACATAAAACCAAACACAAGTGACCATGTGTTTACAAGGAACCAACAACTAAACAAAACCTAATCCATAGTGAGGGCCACCAACTCCAATTCATAAAATTTAACCCATAAATTAAGAGTCCCACCTTGAAAATAAAATGGGCCCACAGACCAACAAAAGCACTACATGATGGCAAGCTTTTTCTTTTTGATCCGTAATGATAATACTAAGTTGCATTTAAACACAGAAAAAAGAGTAGGTATAGGGTTGGTAAGAGAGGAAAAGTAAAGGAGTGCCAAGAATATAAAGAAAATACCCTCTTTTTCCTTTTTCAAAATTGAATGAATATACTCAGCTACACAAACTAAATTATGCCTGTAAATAAAGGTAATGGCTGTGAAACATATCCAACATGGTTAAATAAAGTGCTTAAAACGTTCTTGTTGGCTGTCACGCCGTCTTCTTATGCGTCTTTGGTCACTCTTAAATGGATCAGACCAATTTTTGTCTTCAGCAATAGCTTCATTCCACCGATCTTTGAAGGTTTCAAATTCCCATGTTGATTGCCTTCGTATCTGCTCAAACCATGTTAATGTTAGGGTGTAACTGTGTAACCAATGTCATTTATTTTCCACCAACTTTTCTGAAAAGTAAGCTTAGAAGTTAAAAGCCTCACCTCAGTTCGCACATCAATTCCCGTTCCACTTTGTCTCTGCTTAGGAAAGGATACAAAATCATCAACAATAAAGTGAACATTAGGATTGTTAATGAAATAGAGTTACAGACAAGAACCCTATAACATATAATGTTACTAAAACTGTACCGTAGTTGTCTTCTGTAGTTTTGAAACCTGCAGAAAAGGAAACAATTATTATTATTGTGACTAAAAGTGGTACACAGTTAATTGTTATACTGAGATCAAAATCAAATACTCAACATGCATAACAAAAATGTTTTGTTAAGGATATAAATTGAAAGTTTTTATTGAGACAGATGAAAATAAATGACTTCGTTTTCTCCCAATAAAAAAATTCCACAATTTGATCTGAGGGCTAATGTTAGGAAAGTTTTTGGTTCGCAGTGACAAAGCATAAATTAAACGGATACAAAATGATGAATTTCAACATTAGGAAAATACCTTTGTCATTCCATGACCACTCCCACCCAGAGTTTGTATGCCCTTGTGAAAAACATATTCGCTATCAACAACTCCCACATTTTTAGTTCGATCTCCCTGGAAAAATGACATTGATCTCACTAATGATACTGGTCATGCAGAAATGGTAGCAAAAAGAGTAAGGGCAGAACAGCCTAGTATTCACATGATAATCTATTGATTAAATGTAAGTTGACATGCAAATGATGTGACATGAGAATGTGTAAAAGAGTATTCCACAACTCTATCTCTTATCAGGCATTAGTAATTGCCCAATATATCATATAAGTTGATACTAGAAACTAGAGCAAAAGGTTTTGAACTTAGCACAAGAAAGTTTACTGCATTATTGGCTAAGTTTATCACTGCCTAGGGCAATGAGAATCGTACACAAAGACAAGTGCCATCATTGAAAAGAAAATAAAGAGGGGGGAAAATTATGAGCACCAAAAGTGTCCAGAAATGCATATTTCTCACCTGTGCACAATATCCTAGTTTCATATCCACTCCCCATCCATGGACAAGGTCATTCTGGAGAAAATACAAATGATAATGATGAGCCGATATTGAACACATAGTGAACTATTTTGATCTATTAGTATTTAGTAATCTATAACAAAATAAAATGCAAGCAAATCAAGTGAATCAAAATAAGTTTTCTTTTCAGCAGCCAGATATGGGCAAACCTAATTTCAGAAAACCTATTTGCAAGCATTTTGGTTAACTTGAAAAAACAGACACAACCGTAAACAACAATAATAAATTTTCGGAAAAAGATTTAAAGTTGTCCACATTATGTAAGACATTATAGTCATGGGGGTGTCATCCCCTATTTACTATTTTGTGAATAAAAAAAAAGTATGTAATACTAATACATAGTACATGTACAACCAGACGGAACAAATTTTTTGGAAAAGTTTGAAAGGAGTTTCTGACATGTCTTTGGTTAGAACTTAAATTTAATATTCCTATAAATCATGGAAACAATATTTATTACCTGTATAAGATGCCAAGTACAATACCAGGCAGATCGAGAGAAAACTGGAGCCATACCTTCCACAAACCTACACAAGGTGTATTGAAGTTTTTCTGTCATTCAACTACACTATATGTATGCCGAGATTTATCATAAGTCACCACAAAGGAATTTGTCTTATCATATTTCTTGTGATGTTTTCAAAAATTCAGAGAAGGAAAACATAGTATACTACAAGGTAATAAACTAAATGACAACAAAATCATCAGCATTTTTCATCTTCTTACATAATTAAAGAGAAAATTCCAGTGCAAGCATCATTTCAATTTCAAAATGAGTGCACCCAAAAGAATTCAAAGACAACACTCAAAAAGCCATCTTGCAGAAAGACCCAGTAATATGTTACAATAGCCCATATCCTTCTTATCTAAGAAAAGAATTTTCAAAACATGAGTCATCTAGAAGATAGACATCTAAAAGTGATTTGCTTTGATATGTTGTTAAATCAAAACTTTGTGAATTGACAATATGCTAGTTTTACCTAATTACAAAATAAATCCAGGCTTGAAATAACTTCAAAAGAAATTTAAACATATCCTGCTATCTTGAAGGTAGATGGAGGGATGATAACATGCATCAACAAGATCCAGTACAAATATCCTGAAATATTGCACAGCTCTACCAGGCACAAAGAAAGTAAGTTACCCAGTGCATGGTGGTCCCTCACTTGAATCTGAACACCTTGTACTGCCTCTGCGTTCATAGACTCTTCTGTTTCGATGAAAACTTCAAATATAAGTACAATAAAAATTGTTTAGCTAGTGCATATGTATGGTCTAACAACAAGTCACCTATGAAATTTCTTCGTTCTAGCTCTAATTGTAATTCTATGATGTATCTCTGTTGAATTTGGGTCAAGAGCTGGTTGTGATATCTCCAAACCTTCCTGCTTTATAATTTTAACATATCTGCAAAAATAGAAGCTTATATTATTTCTTTCGTTGATTCGATGAGATAAATGTCTGTTGAGAGGTTACTGACTAGCTTCAAAAGCAGAACAGGTTAAAGAATATAAACCCAATAAATAACCTCTTTTTCTGTTACCACCCCAGAACCAGCAAAGATTTCTTAGCAACCTAATGTAAGCTTAACAAATTTCATAAGGATAATATCCATCATATAGTGTATCACATTAAAAGGGGAAAAATTAACATATCATCATGCAATCAAATAAAATTGGATTCTTCTTTTCATAACATTTACACCAGTATTGCAGGTTCCTGCTACCATATAAAATGATAATCATTCACATCCGAGGAAGACTGCACACAATATCAAAATATCAGCAGCAACAGAAAGGCAAAGACCAAAGAGGCATCCTTCTTACCTAGAAGGTGAAAAATGCTCCACCCCTAAATCCTCGTCCCAAAGAAAGATATAATCATAAATAGAAACTATATCTGGATGTAGAAACCTTTTTGCAAACCACCTGACAAAGAACTCGTGAATTAATATGTAAGTTCAGAAAAATAAACCATCAACTACATATATTTATAAGTGAGTATGCATACACAAGAACAAAACAACACATCTTGGGAAACTTTGTAAGAGAACCAGCAGTGTGATATGTGCAGAGTTACAACATACTGAATACAGATACCATATTAAGGAGAGCCCAGTTTATCATTTTTTACTTTAATTAAGAAAATGTATTCTATATATATATAAAAAATGATATATATAATTTTTTTATATATATGTCAAGCGGTGATGCATTGCCCATTCATCATCTATAACTAGAAGATTCCCAATCCCATAGCTTTGACAAGCCATTAAAATGATATTAAATACATTTTCAATTTCAGCGGTGGTTCCCAACAGAAAAAGGAAAAATAAATCAAGACTTTGATTTTAATACATTGAGACAAGCCAAACATTTTACTGAATTTCCAAGGCTTTTACATAGCCTAACCAGCTCATCCTAGTCAAAGACATCTTGATTTTCACAAAATCATTTACTTAATTAAGATATAATATGAACCATTTATTTATTATTATAGTTTCCTCAAAAGAATTAAAGCAATCTCCTTACGATGAACATATTTCAAACGGGAAAATAGACATCTTATTCATCGGTCTCATACTTACCACTTTGTTTGATTCCGAGCAACAATGTGTATGGCCTTGCTACTCCAGTCAAGATTCCACCATCCATCCACATTGCCATCATAATGGAATAAAATAATTGTAAAGTTTTCTGGAAGAAACTGAAATAAATGAAATTAGATAAAGAATGTCGATTCCAATAATTTGGATAGTCTAAGCAATGATAAAAAAAAATAAAAATACCTTTCGGACCATAGCATCAACATTCTGCTTTTGTTTTATACCAACTGGAACAGCCAGTAAGTTACGATTTGAGTAAACATTAGCCTGCAATTTCATAAACAACCCCAAGCAATCATTACACTTGTTACCTAACAAAACAAATTCATAAATTTAACCTATCTTCTAACAGTTTCAATATAACTAAAATACAGAAGAATGATGCAAAAATCCTGACCTTTGACCTTGAACTGCTTCTCGACCATAATGGTCTTAACTCCAAATCTGAATCAGCGTGTATTATACCTCGTGGCAAGCCTTTCAACTTCCAAGAGGTTACAGGATATGCCTGTACCAACAGGTATAAAAAAATGAATCCAAGTTACAAAATCATTTTAGACAAGAATTTGTTAACACACAGGTTCATCACAAATTTTGAAAGCAATCATTGCCATCATTTACTATAAAGAGAAGAGCCTTTGTAAATAATAGAAGATCTAATCTGGAAAAAAGAGAATCAGAAAGCTACTTGGTCTAGTAATCTAACTTCAAAGATTTTACCTTTGGTTCTCCCCAGAAACTCCATCTTTTGTCAATCTGATAGTGGCAGATGATAAACAGAGGAAGGGTAAAAATTAAGTTAGAACACTCGACACAAGAATACGTGTGTCATTAACAATGCATTATGAGAGAGAGGAAGAGTTAAAGGTAGTTTGACGTTTCTAGAAAACGCTTGTCAAATTTTCTGAAAAAACGAATATTGACATGATTATAGGACTCTCTGGATAAAGCAGTACCAATTTATCCTTAATAAGATGATATTATCCAAAAGAATTCAACTGATCGCATACCTCTTCTTGGTGATACTGATACTTTGTAGTTCTATACACAATGAACAACATTACTGTACACAAAACTGCCATAAAAGGCAGCTGTTTCATTTTGAAACTTGATTTCCCCTGCCACAAAAACACTACTGTTAAAAAGTGGTGCTACACATGAATCTTCAGAACTAAAGAATGTTTTACAAAAAATTCTATTAACAAAATCCGAAGTAATGGAATTAGAGGAAAAGAAGACAGACCCCATCAGACAAGCCACTCTTTTTTCTCATCAACCATCTCAATGATTTGATCGACGTCATAGAAAATCCAATCTTTTATTCAGTCCTCATCAAAAACTGCTTGGTGAGACACAAACCGTTAGAAGCTATTACAAGCCTATGCTTAATATATTCACTTCTCAATAGCATTGCATAATTTGGCATCAGTAACAAATCCGACTAGTCAAAACAACAAATTTGAAGTAATCAAATTCTAAGTTCTAAAGAACAGCACAAAATATATAGGTAAGGTCCAAAATTGAAAATCATTAGTCCAAAACTGAATGACTTTCAATAATACTAATTCACCTTATGTGCAAACCCGGACCGTCACAGCACCAACTATATTTTGTGCAAAAAGAGATATTATGCACGTGCAATGTCATAACTGACCCAAAAATGAGCTAATACTTGTGAAATGGAGAAAGAGAGGGCTGAATTGAAACCTAAAGGGAAACAAATGGTTAGAATATTGGCGATGATAAAAAGAGCACGCCCCAGGTTGCTGAATCCACACACCAACCAAACTTGTACATAAAATATACCAAAAACGACACTTAAATAAAGCTACCCCAACAATCTACGAAACGGTCGTCAAATTGCTTACAACATAAGCACCTAGTAACACGGAAACACAACTCCAAACATTGGATTTTCCCCCAATTACAAGGATCGCATGAAAATCTTGAAAAAACACAGCTTTCAAAAACATTGAACTACACCTGGAACCAAAAATCTCTCCTTCACAGCAAAAAACAGAAACAAAAAAGAAAAGGACTGAAAATAACTCCCACCGATAATAACAGAGGAAGCTACAACTCACTGGGCGTTTCAGTCAGATCTAACCCTCTCAACAAGTTCTTTCTCATCATTTAAAGAAGAGTAAAGTTTTACTTTCACTCCTAAAGACAACTCAGAAATTTCAAAAACACAAAATTAAAATACTGACTACTAAAACGGCTTCCACTGTTAACAAAATTGAAGATTTGCCACCACCTTTTTACACCCGGATCTTCCCCCGGAAACCCAGAACAGTGAAAGACAAGATAACTAAAGAAGAGTGAGAGAAAGCAAGGGAAGAGGCTGACAAGCTTAAAGGGGTAGCGTGAAAAAGCGAAAAGCAACAAACTTTGAAGATCACATCACATGAAATACCTCGGAATGAACGGTGGGAGCTGGAGCGGCGAACCCCACATGAGAAAAAGAAAGAAGGAGAAGGGATTGACACGAATGAAGAGTGTCAGAGATTGAAGACGATCGATGCAGAAAGCAAGAAAGAGAGATGAAGAGGTTTAAAGGAGAACCTGAATGCATGCGTGTTGACTGAAGATGAAGAAATGAAAAGCGTGATGACAAGTGTTCTTACTCACTCGTGTCAATTCCTCCACCAAAACCAAACCAAACTCAGAGTGTTAGCTTTATTAGTTCAACACTTCAATCTACTCTGCTAATCACACCGTCACTCTCGCTCTCTGTTTCACCACAATCGCATTTCCCTCTCGACTTTCTCTTTTTCTTCTTTTTAATTTCTCTCTCCCTCTAGACTTGGAATTTTCGCTCAGAAGAATATTGTATTCTTGTTTTTGTCATCTTATTACCTTTCTTCTTCCTCACATCATCATATTTCTTTTTCATTTTTTTACCTCATCATTTTTAACAAATGTTATTTATACCTATTCCATACCATTATATATAAACTTTATAACAAAGAATATAAAGAGGATATATTCTTCTTCAAATGCTTCAACCTTCACTTGTCATTCACAAATTCTTTTTAAAAAAAAAACCAATTTAGTTGTATTTAAAACTTTTCTTTATATTTTAATCTTTTAAACAAGTAAATACAAGTTACATTTCTATTCCAAATGAAAACTTTTTTTTACTCACATTGACTTTGGTTGCGTTAGTATAAATTGTCTAGACATGGTGCAAAATAAATAATAATAATGTCTCAATTAACTTTTTGAAAACATGGTAGGAATTGTTTCCTTTTTATTTTTTAATTAAACCAATATCATTTTTAAGATGGGTGAGATGGAAGCACTGGGTGAAATATACTTTGATAAGTCTAATAATTAGTTTAAACAAAGGGCACATAGGTATACTAACTCCGTGTCTGTACAATACTAGACTAAATGAGTGCGTAAGGTGTGGTTGTGAAATTCAGTTTTCCTCGCAAATTCAAAATTTAAATAAAATGTTGTGCTAATCATGTGCCCTTGTAAGTTGTAATAATATAATAATTAATACCCTGCTTTGCCAAATCCTACTTGCTTAACATAACCAATGTCTCTTTACTGACATTTGTCTCCCCTGAATATTTAACCAATAAAATATTTCAACAACTACTAAATAATTCATCATCATTAGCCACACCGAAAATATAAGTGCGTGTTTAATTCTTTTATAGGATTAAATGAGCCCAAAATCATGTTTAGATTATTAAAAAAAGAAAAAAATGTTTCATAATAACTTTTTCCTAAATTACAATTCTGGAGTTCTTAAAGAAAATTCAATCACAGGACCATACAACAAAATTAAAGAAAATAACTTTTTTTTTTCTTCTCTTATTACTGTAGAGTTTGACGTGTTATCCATTCAGTTGATGCCACCTGCATTACATCGGTTTCCAATTAACAGTGACCACGGTAACCATGGTCTTATTGTGGATAACTATTATATAAAATATCTACCACAATAATTAATCTTTATTAAAAATCAAAATCACATATAAACCCAGTATTATTTTTTTAATATAATTTATTTTGTATAAAAGTTCAGAATTTAAAGTCTGAATATCTTGATTGAAAAATATAAATTGTCGATCACTACCAAGAGAATAATATACATTTAGTAAAAGATTCTCAATTTTAAAATAATACATGAATTATGTTAATAAAAAAATATTATAATTTTAAAATGTTTTAGGTATAATTAAATTTTACTCAAAACTCAAATTTGGCAGGTAACTTGTTATTGTAGATATTTTGTTGGAAATATCTTAGCATATGAGGAAGTGCAAATTATTTGGAAAATGGTCCAAATGTAGATGAAAAAAGAGGGGGCAATTTGTGTGAATTATGGGGGCAGGTAAAGATAAGGTCCAAAATGATTTTGCAAATGAAGCTTTGGAGCAGCACTTAAATTTTGTTGTAACTAAGGATATTAAGAAATATACTGAAAAAGTGTTGTGGTAGGGAACCAACCCGACCTAACACAACCCAACTTCTCCACTTGGGGTATTCACTTTCACTACCTGTGTATCATCATCCCCTCTCTCTCTCTCAAACATTTACCTTTTCTGTTCATTAAATAGTTTACCCAGATTGACCCCTTTTCTCACCATTCACACGCATCCAAGTATTAGATTCATGTTCAAACACACTCATCATGTGATACGGTTTATGATCCCACATGCATGCAACAAAGATTTCTAAATCCCAACAAATAAGTAAATGTCATCACGGAATGCAACCCTTTTCTATTTTCTCTCTCTCTAATTTTGGAACGGAATAAAATATAACCTAAGCATAATGAAAGAGAGATAATATCATGTTATGTTGATAAGATTAAGTAGAAATCATTTTTATATCACCATGTAAAACTATTATATCTATTATTTTAGAAGATAGTGTATCATAAATAATGTTAAGTGAATGTCAACATAAAGACATGTAATAAGTTAACTTATTAGTAAATGGAGGATTATATGAAAAACATATAAACATTTTTTTTTCTTTTTTACTTAACATCATCTTGAATGATAATATGCAAAATTAAAAGCAAGATGATTTTATGTTTTAAAAATATATAACTTTTAATTTATATAAAGTGCAACACGGTTCATTAAAAATGTATTTTTATTCGACACTTATTATTAATAATTTGATTTTTTTTTCGTATTTTATATCTTTTCAAACAAATTTGTACTGAAATAGAATAAATGATTTATAATTTCATTAAAAAATATAAAAGAAATTTATAGTTTAACTCTAATTTTAAATAAAGTTTTATTATAATCTAAACTATTTCATTTACTAAAAAAAATTAAACAAGAGAAATCAGAATTGATTTTAGAAGGCCAAACACTGTCAAGGGAGAAGGAAAAGAAAATGAAACAAGAAACATGACATTGTTTTTTGCAACAAACAGTAGCAGTAGTATGCAACTCTTTCTATTATTTTTTTTACCAAAAAAAGAAAAATCTATGGATGATTCAATTAATGAAGCTGAATATCTTAGGATGCAAAACAAAATAAGACGATTCATGAGGTTCCTAATTAAACAATGGTGGTGGTCAAGAAGAAAGGAACTAGACAGCTACAACTTGGGTAGGTGCATTTCAATTCAAGTCTTTAGGTATTACTTAGTTATTGGTATTGACCTAAATTTTCTTATCTCACTACACCATTTAATGACAAGACAGAAAACCACAAAAATTTAGATGGGATTCCACCAAATCTTGTTTTTATAAAGAAATTTGTTATAAGTGTAACACTTAGAAAATTAAGGTTTTTTTTTCCCCATAATTTTTGGATTCTTAACAGTTATACCATTGCAATCTATCACGTATATCTAATTTTTATAATCTATTAATCTAAGCAATTTATTTTTTCAAACTTAATAACTCCAAAAAAAATTATTAAATGAGGGTTCACGAAACATCCTTACATTTTTTAATCATTTATTTATTAAGTTATAATTTTTAATTAAAACACGATATTGATTTTTGATAAATTAGATTTTATTAGATAAAAAATTGTTAAATAAACGAATATGTTTGAATGAAAAATTAAAATAAATTTTTTTTTTTAGAATTTCAAATTCTTTAAAAATATATTCTTAATCAATTTTGTCACGCAATACTAAGCAATGAATAATAATGATGATTATTTCTTAACTCTTAACTAAAACAACGTGAGATTCCCCTAATAAAATATAATATATATATATATATATATATATATATATATAAAAGAAAAAACTAAAATAACGTGAGACACTTCTTCTTCTTCTTTTAATTTAATTGAGCCTCATAAAAATTTTCAACTTAATTTTTTAGATTTTGTTATATTTAAACATGACAGAAATATCAATAGAATTATTAGATGGGTAAATAAAGACTTCGTTAATGATCTGGACACTATTTTAAAATAAAATTACCAGGTTAAAAATATAGACATTACTCAAAAAAAATTTATCTAAATATCCTATCAACAAACTCAGCATAAAAATTGCCCTCCCAACATCAGAGCAGCACTGGATGGAAAAAAAGAAAAACTTTTGTTACTTTACAGCTTCAAGCAAATCAAATTCAACAAGAAAAGGTAATAATAGAACCATTTTTCTTATAAAATATTGATATAAGAAAAAATGTACAGCTTTCGATACTGAAAACCCATAACATTATTATTTTCTTTTAAAAAAATATCAAAACGCATTATGGAAGATAATTATTGATATAAAACTGTTGATTTAATTAGGTCGCACTTTCTATTACTGTTTTACTTTTAATCTTGTTGCGTGCTATTGGAATTATATATATATATTGAGTGAGAGAGGAGAAAGATTGTTTTATTTTAGGAGTAAGTCTATTTAGACTTACTCTATTTAATAATTTATATTTTATATTAAATTTTAATAATTTAATCGTTTAATTTAAAGTTTTTAATGCATAGATTAAATCTGTAAATTTTTAGAAAATTTGAAAATTATTTGATATTTTATTTCATTAATTCAAATTGATGGATAATCATAAAATTATTTTATACATTGATTTAAATTAATGAAACGAAATATTAAATAATTTTTAAATTTTCTAAAAATTTGCAGATTTGATCTATACATTAAGAACTTTAAATTGAACAGTTAGATCATTAAAATTTGATGTAGAACATGAGTTATTGAATGAAATAAGTCTATGTAGATTTATTCTTTGAGTAAAAGGATCTCTCCTCATATATATATATAGAGTAATTTATTATTAAGTGCGATTAGCCATCTATATTAATTGGATAAGAGATTCTTTATATTAACATTTTAATTATAAAAAAAAAAATAAAAACGGATAAAATTTATATAAGACGAAGTTTTGATAAATATGTATGTGAACCTTACCAGATATTATGTCAATTTTTATTTTTATTTGGAGGTATCCAGGATTACTTCAAATTATTAAACAATGACTTCTCACCCGTTACGTAATGAAACCAGACACAAAATACACAAATTTTGATTTTTTTTTTTAAATTCTTATTTTAAAAAACATGAACGCGTCTAAGCGATGTGGATACATGTGATCAAAGTGTCTCGTTGAAATTTTTTTTAAGCGTCTATGTTATTACATAATTCATCTCCATATATTAAATTATAATTTATTTTTAAAATAGTTAAATTTATTAATTTATTCTCAATCAATAACAGTCTTATATTTATTTATTAAATTCTTAAATTTATATGTTTTTTATTTTTATATTTCGTAAATTATTTTCTCAATAATACAAGCTACTCTTATCTTTCTTTTTTAAATTCTTAATTTATACTTTTAATCAACTATTTATTTTATTTTCTGTTCATGCAATATACATACATGTTTGAATGCTTTTTGTAAAATTATACTATCTGCTAAAACAATTTAATTTTGTGCTAACTAGTATCAAATGAATTAGCTTTTATTCACAGACTAGTAACATGTGTAATATTTCATCGATTCATTAGTCAGGAACTTATTAATTGATTTGTAGTAGTATTTTAATTTTAAAAAAAAAAACTCTAAGTAAATCATTAATGGTATGTATTGAAGTTATGAATATTAGGTTAGAGAGAAAAGATTTTGATAGGTGGAATCAAATTATAAATTCAAACTATAATTTAATGTGACAAAAAAAAAGTAGATATTTATTAAATATAAGTGTATATGATTATGCATACATTTATTACTTAAAGAATCATTAATTATATTTATTAAGCTTAAATTAGGCCAATAATTGACACACAAAAAAAACAGGCCAATAAAGCTATTTGTTTTTAAGTTTTCGTTTTCTTGTTACATAGGCTGAAAATTAAATGGCTGCAGGGAAAAAAATTCCGCCCAAGCTTCATAGTTATGTATGGCCCAAATATAGGTTTGGGCCCATGCTCGTTTATAAATTTTTCTGGACCGCTATTAATTATGTACAGCTTATCAAAAGGGCTCAACATTCACAGCCCTCCCTTTTCTCTTCACACCACCTACCCTTTTTCTATTTTTTAATTCCTATTCTATCCCTGTCTATTCACACCCACCTCCTCCTAAACTTTTCATGCATATTTGAATACCAATTTAAAATCACATTCAACACAAAAATACATATTTCAATATAAAAATAAAAAAAATATATTTGAATGTGACTTTTTTTTTTTTTTTTTTACTTTAATTGAGTTTTATATTCTTTCTTATCTTCAATGTTACATTTCTTCCTTACCCCTCTCTCTTTGGTAGAGCTCCTAAATACGTCACCCTCGTGTTTCTCTGTGTCCTTTTACTATGACGAGTTTTCCTTCTCTTCATCATTTCATTTTTTTCCCACTTGTTGATTCAATGGAAGTTAGTTTTCGTTGAATATTTGGTTTATATACACAACGGATAACTAGTTCCTGATGTGTTGTTATACCCAGCAAAAACGAGTTTCAGTCAAAGAAATTTTGTGTAAAAAAAATTACAAAAAATATGAGTAGTGTGAAGAGAAAAAAAAGACGGGATAAATAACATTTCCTTAACCAAAAATAAAATAAAATATATATTTTAGTCAAACTATTCTAATAACAATATGAACGAAAGGATAACATAAAGCTATGGATAAATATAGTCAATATGTGTTGTTATCTTATCTAGTATTTTCATACTATTAATACATATGGCGAGGAAATAATATAAAAGTAAAAAAAAATGTAGTTAATATAAGTTATTGTCTTAGCTGGTATTTAAAGACGAGGATAGGTCAAGCTTATTAACTACAAGGTCAAGTTAGGTTAATATAGTCTCTTCTATGTCAAATCCAAGTTAGGTTAAGTTACTTTTACAAATAAAATATGTCAGTTTTTTTTTATTTATAATAGTTTATTTGGTGAAAATAGTTAGAATTTAAACTATTAAAAAGTATTTTAAGCCTAACAAATTAGTATATTTAAGTAAATATAAATAAAAAATTATTAGTATTATTATATAATTTTTATCACCTATTAAAATCACATAGTTATTTGTTTCTTTCTTTTTTGAAGTTTTAAGTGTGTTGACCTATTTATTAAAAATTTGAGTATATGAGTTTGTTAAAAGATAAATTTAATTCATATTTTAAAGTTTTAATACAAAATAGACTTTTAAATAAGTTATGATGAAAGTTAGTAGAGTAATATCTTATAAACAAATCATGCTCAATTTATACAAAATCTATCCTTCATATTTTTACATATGTGGAATGCTTTGAATAAGAATGATTTCAATTTTCGTAGTTTTTTTTTCTTTTCATTAATCTATTAGTGAATTAACTTATTTATAAATATGTCAACCCTATGAAAAAGTTTTAATGTAAAATAAGTCTTTAAGTGGATTAACAAGTTAAGTCAAAATTTTTAATAGTTAGGCCAAACCTAAAAAATAACCTTAGTCTATAAAATGTAATAGGTTTGGTTAGTCTTAAACTTTTAAAGCATGCCAAATTCATCTAGGAAAAGTTTTATTCACACCAACTTTTTTTCACTTGTAATTTTATTAATACTCAATGCATTAAATAACTTAGTACGCCGTAAAGATAATGAGAAAATTATGATGTTAAAGTTAAATAAAATTATTAATAGTCACATATATTTTATAACTTTAAAATTTAGGAAAATATTTTTACGATAAAATTATCCAAACTTGTAATTTGATTGCATTAATTTTTAAATTTATCTTATTTTATATACATAAATGTCATAAAATATTATTTATAAATGATATTATCTCTCTTTATATATTTACATATTACCATTTAAATAATTTACACCGAACTAATAATAATCAAATTCAATTACTTTTAAATTTAATTGTCATGAATCAATTATTTTCTCAAAAATGAGTTGTTGGTAATGACTATTTTTGATTATTTTTTTTAACTATTGCAAGAAGCTTGTGCTTGAGAAACATCTGAAGATGATTTCGTAATCCTTACTTTTTCCAAATTATGAAGAATAGGTTGTTGGTGATAATATTTCGAATTAACTTTTGTTTGATTATTGTGAGGACTTTATATTGAGGGTGCTTAATAATTAATTACAACTTAGTAATTTTTACTTTTTCAAAAGTCAAATTGATGACATTTCATTCGTATTTGCATAACACTTTAATAAAATTATTCGACTTACAATTTTTTTTCTTTCTAAATGATTATGTAACTTTGATTTTCTTATTGTACTAAAGGAAACTTAGGAGTAAGGAAACACTAAGGTCGAGTATGAAATTATTTTTATATATTTGTCTTATCTAAAAAATAATAGATTTTGTTTTAAATAATAAAAATTCTCATTTTATTAATAAAAAATGTTAAAATATAAATTTTAAAGAAGTGTATCTAATTATCTTATTTCATTTAAAGAGTATTTCTGAACTAAAACACTTGTATACCTTGAGAAAAAGCTAAATATGAGAATTTTAACTTTAAAAAAAAAAGTATAACCATGAACATTCTGGTCTATAAAAAAAGTGTACAAGTAGATTGATTTATCTATTTTAATTTTGAAAATGCCTAAATAGTTTTCATCATTTTAGTTATAGTTAGTCACCTTAAGATATTCAGATAGAGCAACAAATAATTGATCACTTACTTAATTTCTGCATACCTATTTTTTGTTTCATAATTTTAGTTCATTAAGTAACATTAACATAAAAGTTTAATCAATGAAGAACCAACATGCAGAAAAAGGTCAGCAAAAATCAAGTTAATCACCCGCGTTAACATGCTCATCCATCAAAATTAGTACACTTTTGCTACAATCAAAATTTGTACTTACAATTTACAAGATTTAAATGTTGTATAAAAGCAAAAAGGTGACTACTTCCATCGGAAACTTCTCTACATCAGTTACTATAATTTAGAACTATTCCATCAAATATCTGTAGTTAGTTTCCCTCCAGTCCTGCAACTAATCCAAGTTTCTTCTGCATGTTGCCTGAGCCTTGGTCGTTCATTAAAGCAAACAAACAAAAAATATCTAACCAAAATGGAAAAATCTTTGTACAAAGAAACCTATTGGTTAAAGCACTATCAGTATCACTTTGTTCTAACTCTTTTCTTTCCCTTCGTTGGTATTGCAGGCCTTTGACCTGCAGCCCCACGTCCAACTTTTTTTGGTCGACCAAAACCTTTCTTCTTCACAGTTAAGGATTCTACAGAAGATGGAGAATCAACTTTACTAGGTTTTTTAGTTCCATGTGACACCCCTGATGCAGAATTGTTGCCACCAACTGCTTTTGCAACTATTTTTCTGTTGCCTGGCCTTACACTTCTTGGTTTCACATGAGGATTTTGCACAGGTAATTTAATAGGCTCATTAGTAGTAGCTTGTATGGTGGCTTTGGTGCTTGTACCCTTCAAACTTTCTTTCATTTTTTTAGTGACAATGTCTCTTAGCAGAAGGGCAGATTTGTATTCACGAGTGCTCTTGGAGTAGAAGACTAAGGCATTGTTAGTGAGTAGAAGCAAGTCTCGGAAAAGTTCTACACTTGACTTAATTGTTTGGCTGCTAATTCTTGACCTTATAGTGTCAAAGTCCATGTGCTGCCGGATCATTTTCTTGTACCTTCCTCTCTTCTGTTGTTAAATAGTAGTGCATAAGTCATTTAATTTGTGACTGCTTAATGCCTTGAATCTCCACTTCTTAACAGTTTCAAAAAAAATATAATGCAAAGATATGCAAATTCTATATACTTAATGATGTGCTGATGAAAACGGAGAAAAGAGAAGTTCCAATTTCACTTGTAAGTACATTGTAGAAAAAGATAAAGATAGTGAAATTTGTATTCATTCCTATTGCCCCCCATTCCTTGCTAAACTAGAGAATAAAATGTACAATTCTCATAACGAGCACACACATACAAGAGAACAGTTAACAACTATCACAATCCACTAGGTAAAGGTCAAAATCCATTATCTACAAGTAGTTTGCTATATCTATAGAGTATTTGCATCTATGAAACTACTAGACCTATCATCAAAAGCTTTACGGTGAGAAAACTAAAACTAGCCATAGATGGAACAAAATGAGACTTTTTTATAACACATACCTGACTATCAAGTCTGCGACGGAAGGCAGAAGCACCTTTAGTTTCAAAAACAGAATCCAAAATCTCCATAATGTTTTCCACGCGTTCCTTTTTCAGGTTCCTATTTTGATCATCTGCACCACAAGATTTGGCAACTTCACCACAGTTGCTGGTAGAACTTTCTTTACACCGGGAAACCACGTCAGCTGAATCCAACAAATCACTTTCCCCCACACTAGCTTCTTTCATATTCCTGCCGCAATCCTTCCGCTTCCTCTTCCCTCTCCGTTTTCTGAAACTTCCTCCATGTCCTTCGTATATGGTATGTGCCAACTTATCTACACTCAAAACTTTATCCTGCTCAGTGGAGTGCGAAACCTCAGGCTTAGCCTCCATATCTTCAGCTGGAAGTGGACACTCAGGAGACCAGTTTGTCCTGGTTTCATGTGTGAAACTCCCAGCAGATAGTCCATCCTTTGATGTCTCTTTAGTGGAAGATTCAACTCTCTCCAATTTCTGTGATGCTACATGTAACTTTGGATGACCTGATCCTTTATCAACATGACAATCATCTCTTTTCTCATTCTTCCCAGCCTTGAGGCTTTCAAGCTTAGATTCGAGAGACCTGAAACAAAGGTATTTTGTAAACTACACACCAAAAAGTGTACTAGTTTTCCAACAATTACCCCCACCATGACTCTGAATTTTAGAGTACCACTCGTGGTCAACAAAAAAATGCTACTGACCCAATTGAATCTTCAGATAGCTCCAGAGCCCTCTTCAGCTCTGCTACTCTTGTCTTCCTAAGCTCCTCAAACCAAGCCCTGAGAATGCCATTTTACCACAATACAATGAGATACAACAGACAACTTCTATGAAAATCTTCAAAGGATATTTCATCTTTAAATGCAAATTTAAAAGAGATTTTAAAAATTTATCTACTAAAAAAGCTCATTATTTTCAGTATAGAAACATTCAAAAACTCCTTTAAATTTGTATTCAAATAGACTCTAAATCTAAAGCTTGAAAAAATGCACTAACAACATGGAATTTGTTTTTGAAGAAATGTATTCTACATACTTGCTCCCAGCATAACGTCTTTGCAAGTCTTCATATTTAGCTTTACAGACCTGCAAAAGTAATAGCCCTACTACAATTAACATTCACCAAATAATTTTCCTTCATTTTTTGTTAAAGAGTATGAAGCAAATCAAACACTTCATATTTAATTGAAAAACTAAATATGTCCCTATACTAGAAAAAACCGTGGAAAATCATCTCGAAGGCTTTGGCCTATGCTCACCAACTAACTGAACTTAAAGAAAACTTATGGTGGTATTTGATTTACTTTTTGTTTTTATTTTTAGTTCACAGGTTTTTCTTGATAATTATATTATACAGCATAAAGTACCATTTTAATTTTCATTTATTTTATAATAAGAGCTTGTTTAAAAACAAGCTTAAAAGAGTTTTTAACAGTTTCTCTATTATTTATTTTCCATAGAGAAACTCTTTAAAAGTTTTCTAAACAACAAATATTTTAAATTTAAGGTTATTGTGCTAACTCTATAGAACAATTAGGTTAACATTTAAAATTATGAACGCAGAATAGGTAATGCAAACTTCAACACCGCCCCCTAAAAAAAGAAACTGTAACTATTCAAATACAGGTCATAGCATCAGTTACGCAAACTGAGTCAAACAGACAAGAACGCACAGAGTATCGTTTGGCCATTAACAATTCTTTTATTAATTAAAGCAAAAAAAAAAAGTAAACCTCTGGACATTTTACACAAAATGGGCATGCTAAGTAGGATGTTTTATGAGCCATGATGCATGTGCCAATGCTGCTGATTAGCATATATAATTATAAAATGAACATTTGGCTATTAATCATTCATCATATGATATCATAAAACAAACAAGTAAAAAGGATGTTGTGTGCCACCTCAGTTACCATGTGAAAATCATGATGCAGATAGAATGTGTTACGCATTTCGACCAAGTGATCAGCACTTATAGAGAAAGAGAACAATTGGCACGTGGATGCCACCCATTGTGCATAAGACACGTGTCATCCACTGAATCGTCATTCCAAAAAATTTCTTCTACTTAATAATATTCTTTACTTAGCAAGGTCCAACACTTGCTATTGGCTTAGCGTCACAATCGTTGATTTTCACTTTTCTTTTTTCGATTAACACATTCCATGATTTTTTATAACGGACTAAACATTCGTTGACTAATAATTCATCTCATTAAATTGTTTTAAGGAATAACCTATTATTATATTCACTGAAATTAATTAAAAGCAAGGTTAACGAGTCAAGAGAGATGGCTCGCGCGAGTCACGACCGCGTAATGGTTGCATTGTGCCATAGAATTATTTAAACGCAAAAATATAATATAATATAAAATAAAATAAAGGCTGAATATGAATATTCATTTTCCTAACTCCTAAGCTACCTGCTTTTGGTTTTAGTTTTACACCTTATCTTTACTTTCTAGGTTTCCATTTATACCCCCATCATAAAATGCATTTCCTTGCAAAATACTAGAAGACGATAACCGTTATTTTATAATATAAAAAATGACCTAGAAGATTCCGCTACCATGCGGAGCAACTTAACAAATACAATGCAATTTACCTTTTTATTACAAAAAAACACTTTTATACACATAACAAAATCATTCGTCGTAATGCTCAAATCATCTCTTACCAAAAATATAAATAATCAAAATTCATCAAGGAAATAAATTCTAAATCTTTCAACATCAATCCTGCTAGTAACTTTTTTTATTATTAAAACATATTCATAAAATATTAATTGCGTCGATTTTATATTAATATAAGATTTTTTATAGTCAAAAAGATATGTCCCATTCTTGAGAAAATTATAAATGAGCATTTAAGTATAAAAGATTAAATGCAAGTGATTTTTTTTTTTTGGGAAAAAAACTAGAGAGAAGAAAGAAAGAAAAATTCAAATTCATTAATTGAATTATTAATTTTTTTTTTTACCTCAGAAGTAATGGTGTAGGGAGAAACTGTTCGGGCCCGGAGCTCGGCGGCGACGACGTTCCAATCTCGGGTTCCGTGGCGGAGAACGGCCCCGCCGAGTAGGAGCTCCTCCCAGGTGCCCCACCTCCCCATCACCTCCGTTCCCATCGCCGTCCACGTGTACGCCTCTGATCAAAACCACAACAACCTTTTTTTTTTAAAACAATATCCTGCGCACCCGGCTCACGTTAGCAAACGCCGCCCTTGTTTGAAATTAAAAAAAAAAAGGCGAGGCTCTCCGGCGAGCGGAAAAAGCGGCAAAGACGGAACGAAAGATGGGTGTAGGGCGTGAAAAGGGGCTTTTGGGTACCGGAAAACTGGTTTGGGCGATGTGGGTATGGAGGGGTAGTGGTTTTCCGGCGAGAATTGGGGGTTGGGAAAAAGAATGTAAATTTAGATAAGAGGGGTTGTAATTGTTGCGCAGAGAAAGGTTTGGAGATTGAAGTGAGAAGAAGATCTCAACAGACAAACATCATAAGAAAAAAGAAAATGGGAAAAAATAATGGACGATGATGAAATGAAATGAAACAATTGACAATTGTATTTTGTTTTCCTAATTACGGCTCCTCTCTTTCTCTCTCTACCCCTATTTTCTCTCTCTCTCCACTTTTATACGGGGAATTTACCCCAAATTACGCTTATACCCTCCACTACTTTCTCTATATTCTTTGGGTATATTTATTTCAACAAGTTGTGGGCTTCACTCTCTCACACATCACACATGCTTTTGGATTTTGCTTTGTTTTATTTGTTTAATGCTATGTTTTTCTCGTGGTTCGCAATTGGTACGTCTTATGATAGCGCCACATTTAGATTTAAGATCGGGTAATTTTGTTCTCCAGGTCAATGTCTCAAGAACTGCCTTCTTGGATTTTATTATAACAATATATTATAAAAACCTTTTTCCAGTTTTTTAGTCAATCTATGTATAAAACTCGAATGTCCTGTAGTTAAGGACTAAACCTCCACTAACAAGTAATTTTAAAGAGTTTGATTTTGTATATTATCATTATAAATATATATTGAGAACCAAATAGAAAATTGAATTATTTTAAATAATAATTTCAATTACCTAATAATTTTTAATTAAATTATAAAATAATTTTTTATGATATCAACCTATTTCAATTAAATTGTTTTCAAAAGTAATTTTTATCTTTCATTTAACTTATAATGAAACAATTTTTAAAGGTTAGAATTCATATAGTTAAAATTATATCTGCAAAAAAAGTATATATTTACACTTTCGTACTTTTTGGTCAACATGTTTTATGTAAGAAATATTTATCAATTTTTATTAATTATTAATTTCTATAAAAAAAATTAATTAATTATTAAACCTTCTCTCAATTAAAAGAATTTGATCAGATATTTTGTCTTTATTTTTTTATTTTCATTTAATTTTTTTTTCTAATTATAATTCCTAAGGCCGATTAAGTTTAGGATGACAAAAATTAGGAATTTTGTTGCCTCAAGCAAAATTTTCAAAGATATTTAATATTGTATAAACTATCAAATTTTATATTAATCTTAGTTTTCTTTTAGTTGAGAAATCGTATTCATTTTTCTAGCTTTTGACTATTGCATACTGTCATATCTAATCTAGTGACGCTATTTTTATCATTAAATCTCTAAAATTTTCAACACCATTTTCTTCTTACACTAAATCATAAATATTTTTAGCTAGGAATTTCACTTGAAGTGTTTTTATGCTCAACATTCTCTTCTAATATTTTATCTTCATTTAAATTTTTTATCTTGGTCATTATCAAAATTAGAACGTCATGTTATTAATATCATCATTCATCTATAAGTGATTATTCTATGCTTTTTTTCACCTATTAAAGTCATTTCTATTTTCTTTATGAATAATAAATTTTTTATTAAGAACACAACATGGAGATTGAATTATGTATTCAACGTTTTTATATTAATTTTTTTAAACCATATTCATACTTTCTATTTGTCTTTGTCTATTACTACAAAGTATAAGAATAAATAATTAATAAAAAGCAACAATAGTTTATTTTTGTAAAGTAAATAAAAATTATGAAATGATAAACTTGAAAATAAAAATAATTACACTTTAATAGTATTATCCAGTGTAACAATTTGATTTTAAGTATCTACTTTTGACGATTTTTTTACGAGCCTTCAAAAGAATACGAAAAAGTAGGAGGAAAAAAAAAATAACAGATGAGCCAGTTGTAAAAAAAATAAAATGAAATGGAAAATTTGAAATTTAATAATATCATAAATGCAAGACGACGGTTTTAGGAATATAAATCAACTACCTTTAAAAGACCTAGTAAATTATTTTGGTCATAACATTCCTCCTTAATTCAATTTACATAATAAGGAATAACTCGTAAATATATTTATAATAAAAAATTAGAGAAAAAAAATTGAACTCAAGGCAGTAATCTCAACTTTTCATACGACCTCTTATATATATATATATATATAATTCAAACAATACTAATATAATTTTTACTAATTATTATACTGTTTAATAATTTTAAATTAATATAAATTTTGTTGATCCAACCGCTAAATTATAATTTCATATCACATATCAAATTTTATTAAAATTAGACAACAATAATAATCAAAATATTGATATTTTAGTATATTTTAAATTGTATATATTATGTCAATTTTATTTTATAAGAATGAGGTATTAAATTATTTTTAATTAATATATAATTTTGTATATACTCTAAAAGTAAGGAACTTTCAATCTAACGATAACTTAAAAAAATCACATTTAATTAAAAGTTATTGAGTGATATAATAACTAATAAAAGTTATACGATTGTCATTTGAATCATTCTCACTATATATATATATATATATATATATATGAAGAGAGATCCGTTTATTCCATAAGTAAGTCTACTTAGATTTATTTCGTTCAATAAATCATGTTCTACATTAAATTTTAATGATTTAACCGTTAAATTTAAAATTCTTAATGCATAGATCAAATATGAAAATTTAAAAAAAATTAAAAATTATTTGATGCTTCATTTCATTAATTCAAATCAATGCATTAAGTATCAAATGAAGTATCAAATGACTTTCAAATTTTCTAAAAATTTGTGGACTTGATCTATGCATCAATAACTTTAAATTCAATGGTTAGATCATTAAAATTTGATGTAGAACATGAGTCACTGAACAGAGTAAGTTAAATGAATCTCTCCTCTTTTATATATATATATGATGAAATTTGTAAAACACAAAAGATAAATATATAATTAAATAAGTAATTATAAAAAAATTTAAACATATCTATACACATTAATAAATGGGATTGAAGACAGATATCAAATAGTTACATATTAAATATTAATTAAAGTAAAATTATTGTACTTTTATTTAAATTTATATAAAAATAAAGTATTTTAACTTATTAATTTTTATTTGAAATTGTGAGGTTAAAGTATTGTTCCTTATTAACTTCTGTTTTGGACTTATATGAAATTAAAGTATTTTAATATATTGAAAAATGTTTAGATATGTGGAATTGAAGTATCTAAACATATAAATTTAGTTTATAAAATAAAGTATCTTGATTAATATAATTATTTTGATTAATTATAAAATATATTTGACTTAATTACCTACATAGGTATGTATGAAACAAATATTTACATTATGGGACGAGTAGCTGCAGTGGGATTACTACTCATGTCCCCATATCCCATCCTTTGAGTCAACTATCATCTATATCAAACATTCATTTTGATATACACAAGATCTTAAGATGGTATTATTTATTATTATTTTTTGCCGTGTATTTTACACATTGTAAGCTTTACATTTTAATTTATATTTATTTTTTTCATGTTTTCTTTTGGGCACCACACACATTTTTGCAACATGCGTCCCCTGTAGCACTTACAATAGTTTATAAATGAAAAAAACATAAAAATTTGGTTATATATCTATAATTATTTATGAAATTATTAAAAAAAAATTTAAAAAAGAAATATTAACGACACTGTTACTAAACATTATTTATTATCAGTTGAAATTTATTAAAAACTATACATTTTTAAATTATTAAAATTAATTATTAATTTTCCTAGAAAATAATTAACGATACTCTTACTAATATTCTGGTTGAAAATTGTTGAAAATTATAAATTTTAATACATCTCACATTTTATTCGATGAGTTTCTCATGATTAGTGGTATCACTCACTAAAATAAAATTATAATTTTAATCTCTTTATTTTCATTAATTTATAATTTTGGTTCTTTTATTTTAAAATAGAGACATTTAATTTCTACAATTTAAAAAATACAAAATTTTGGTCATTGTCAAATTGAAATAAGTTGATCTTAAGTTTTAACATTTATTTATATCTAAATAATGTTGTGATATATAATTATATGACATTTGGAGGCGAACAAACAAAAAAAATCCATTTAAATAAATTTTATTAATAAAATAAATATTAATTATTTTTTAAAATAAATAAAATGAAGACTTTTTGTATTATATATATTTTTTAATTTTTATTTTTACACGTCATATTATATATTATGTCATTTAAGTGGTAACACTTAAATAAACAACATTAAAATTTAACTTTTGAAAGTGTAATTAAAATAATAATTCATTTATTACAAAGTATACAACAGATGTGTAACAATTGCTAGCGACTACTGTATCGGATAACTATAATTTATTACAAGAGCTGCGGTAAAATAAAATTAAAAAAAAATGAAATGCAAGCAGGCTAGATGTCTTATCCACATTATACCTCAAAACCCACCATGGTTGGTCTGCATCATATTTCAGACCAAACATAAATAATGTGCAGAATATTCGCCACGTAGTTATCTAACTATCATTCCTCACATTTCATTGAAGTAAAAGACAATAAAGACACAAAAGAATCCAATTGAAGATGCTATATCTACATATAATTTTTGAACATTACATGTTTACAGAAACAATTACTGAATTACATCATGTACTGGACAGTGGACAGTGCAACAAAGCATTCAAAAACAAACAGCTTGTTTAACTATCCAAGTTCCATTGTAGTTTGCATTTCAAGAAATAGTTACATGACCAACAAAGTCATAACCACAATCAAACATTAAAAAATATTATTAAATTATATTACTTTCTTCTGTGATACTTTTTTTTGAGTTTATAATTATTTTAGTTATTGAATTCGAAAGACTTCTCATAAGTCCAAAATTCAAAAGTAAAAGTGCCTATAATTACAACAATATTGATATATATTTAAAGATTAAAATATAATAAATAATTAAATTTAGAAATTAATTTGACATTTTCTTAAATGTGAGGCGTTCACCACTTTCAAGATCAAAATGACCATTTTTTTTTCTTTTGTAGCCGAGATTTTTTAAGCTAGTAAATTGCTGATTTATTTTGTCATAGACTGCAGTAGTAACAGCAAAGAAAACCCAGCTACAAGAATAACAAGAGAATCTTTGCTGATAAATGGTACTTTGTAATTCTTGTAGTTCAGATAAATGGTACTTTGATAGGGATCTATAGTCTTGACTCTTGACCAAGAAATAAAATAACTTAATTGCTGATCACTATCAAGTAAAATGAAGCTCATTTTCTAGGCTTCTGCAACTCCCCAAATTATACAGGGAACTACATAGTCTTGCATATCCAACAAAGTTGTATAGAATAAAGAAAAAAATATGATCATAGGAAAGTGACAGTTAATTGTGTATAGATTAAGTTTTGCCGAATGCAATTTTTCTATTGTACATTTTCTTTAATGAATAAAATAAGAGTTAATCACCTATACATTATCAGTGTAAAGTTTTTTTTACACTGGCAACCAATTATATCACTTAATTATGTCATGTCACTGTAAACACATTTACTTTTAACAGTGACATGACACAATTAAGAGATATAATTGGTTGTCGGTGTAAATTTTTTTTACACTGACAGTATATAGGTGATTAACTCATAAAATAATAGCAAGTGATTTGCACAGAACAAGATAAATTAAGCAGTGTTTGTGACTTTAACATGATAATCCTGGAAGAACAAACGACAGCCACTACAAAACAACAGTAGGTGGAGCAATATGAAAAAAAAAATGAAGATCCATTTCATTAAACATAGAACATGAGATATACATAGAAATATGCATGACTACTACTGCTACATACATCTGACTGAGATGTATGTTGATAGGCACTATATTATAAGCAGTGACCAAGGTGCACCAAACCCCACTTTGGGTCAGTATCACTACTATCAGTAATAACCAGAAGGAACAAATTGAAGAAAAACAAAATACATACAAAAGCAATAGCAAGATCAGTGAACTGAAGTTACGAGCCTTCAGAACTGTTGAAGACCAAGATCCTCAGGTGGCTGCTTCCACCTTCAAGTGTCTTAACATGAGGTAGAACAACTCATTCAGCTTTCTCCCAAATATATCATTAGCTATAATATGCTCTTTCCATCAACAAAAGCCGATGATGACAGCTAATAGGGCAAATCATCAAGACAAAATTGTAGGCCATGATCACAATAACCCAACATGAAACTTTCATGCCTAAATGCATGTTGAGCCCATGTTACTTCACAATTTGGCTTAAAGTTCGTGAAACATCTTCAGTTAGGACTGTTGAAGAACAAGATTTAGCTCTAAGGCAGACTTGGCCAATAAACCACCCCTCCTGCAGCAAAAGAGATAAATAAAATGAAGTTGTGATTCTTGTTTCTGAATCTACATGTAAATGACATGGCAATGATAGTTACACATTATTCAATTCAATTGGATCCTCCCAGTCCCCACACCCCAAAGAAAAGAGACCAAAAAATAACAAGATCTCAGATGGAATGTAAAGAAAGTGTTTATAAGTTAACAATAATTATTTAGGAAAACTGAGAGATTAGTGCTTGATGAAGAACATAAAGCATAAGCAAATTACTACCAGAAACATGAATATTCTGCTAAAAAGGGGAAAAAAATGCAATTTTTAATATACCTTTTACTATTTCAATATATAGTTGCATTGCATACACTTGTCTTTTCCCAGCATAAGAATATTATTTTAATATGCAATTGAATATTCAAAAATCTGAAATAGAGACCAGCACGAAACTTCCCTTATTTTCTATATTAAAAACCAAAAATCTACAATTGTTTTCAATTTACATATCAGTAGGCAACATCAAAGACTGCACGATTACCGTATCAGTATTGGAAGAATCATTTGGATCTTTTGCAGTTCCATAAAGCACTGGTTGCAGCATTCCCGCCTTTCCTCAAGATTGCATACAAGTTAGCTTCATTCACGTATAAAATAAATATATGATAAAGTGAAAAGAATAATATGAGAAAATGGAGGTCACCTTTCCTCTTGATGTAGATCAACACCAACAGAGGGAGGTGCTGAAACAGTTGCACGTATTGTTGGACCAAAAACTGCTACAAGCTTTAACAGCATATCCAGTGAAACCTTTACATGTCTGCACAGTGAGAACAGAGTCAATGTCTCTCAAAAGTTGTTTTTTAGCATGGACTAACAATAATGGTAACCAATATGATATTTAAAGCTCCTGTTGCAAGATATTGGCCCACATATTACAGCATGTTAAAATGAGGAAAGTCATAGGTCCTGTGTTCAAATGCCACCTTGAGTTTTCAAGTTAATATACTAATAAATAATTACCTTTCTATCTTGCCGTCCAGCAAGCCTGTGAGCACAGGAAGTAAGCAAGAAAATAAATCCATGGTGAAAATCTCCATCTTTTCCACAAGGACACTGATAACATCTGCTTGAACCTGCATCAGAATGAAATTATTTTCAGGACTATATTTTCAATAAGAAGAAAACACTAAACACAACACAAAATAAGCCAACAAGTGGCAAACAAGTACTTCATAAAACACGTACAGATTGATCAGGAAGCTTTTTCAAAGCATTGGTAGCACCTTTAATATCGTTACGTTCCCAAAAATGTTGCACCACCTACAAAGTACACATTATTACCACTAACCAGTCAGTGACATTAATTACAAAATGTTTAGAGTTTTTCATCATTTTCTTTCTTAAGCCCTGTTTAGCAGTAGTTTATAGTTACACATCAGCATTACAGCATATGGCCTAACAATTATAAGCTCCATGGCCAAGAATAATACAGACTGGAACATAGTATAGCAATAAATGAATAAATAAAGACCAAGCATTAAAACAAATAATATTACTGACTAGCAAAAATTACCTGTAACTTTGTCAAGCGGGAGCGAAGATTACTTAATGTTATATCATGAGTTTGCATCAGACCTTCAATGATTTCTTCTTCATTTGCAGAGTTTGAATCCTCTTTAGGAATTTGAGGCTCAACTTTCTGCAAAATTATATAACAGAATAAACATGATTTAGTTGAACTACACCAAAGTAACAATTACAGAATAAAACACATGTTTTCCTGATATGAAGTTAAATTACAAAATTTCAAAACTTCACACCCCAAAAAAGCCACAAATATGCATATCAAGTTATCAAGCCTGACAAAATCTCAATTGGATAGCTTCTGGCTTATAAGGTATAAAAACTAGGACCTACCAACCTACATATAATATAACAAACATAATTTTCACTAAAAAAAATGGAAGCTACAGTGGAGATGCTAGTATCAAAACTTCTGTAAAGCTGAGATAGAATTTTACCAGTATGTTAGGAGATTTATCAGTTTCAGATATTGACTTGGGAACAGAGGGCAAATTGTTTCGATCTTCATTGAAGGGAATTCTTTCCCTCCTCTCAAATACCATAGTGGGTGTGGGAGATGCTTCGATTTGATCTTCATTGTGAACTTTTTCTCTTGTTTCATTTATTGTGGGAAGGAATACATTAGTTTGATCTTCATCAATTTGAATCTTTTCCCTTCTTTCAAACCTTTCAACCAATGACCGTGTCCTTCCTCGTACAACAGCAACTGCCATAATAGAACATAAAAGTATTCAATTTTTGGTGACTTAAATAAAATGTAAAATTGCATAAACAAGGGATTGCAAACCTCCATTGACATATTTAACAGGACTAATCCCTTCATTGCAAGGTGAGGATTCATCACCTGAAATAATGAGAATATCACTTATAAACTCAAAAGACTCAACTTCAATCATAAATAATAAGCCAAAGTATGCTGCATAACATCTCTGTTTGAATAACCTTATACATGGCAGTTCGCTCTTGTACTAAAGCAGAACCAAAATCTTAACAAGCTACTTGTCAGAATATCTGCTTGTTCACATCCCTAAAATGAACTTATCTGTCAAGATTCCTGGCCAATAGTTTATTCACTATTTTTCAAAAGGAAATACAAGTTGGAAATCAACAGCATACTTTACTACAGAGAATTTCATAACATCTTGACAGATTTAAAGCAAGGGGCAAACATAAATATTTGCATGTATGATGAAAGTACAAGAAACAAAATATGATTATAAATTAGCTTCTTTGAGAGGGTTAAGGTAGCTAGTGGCATCAACTAAAAATATAGGCTGAGATTCAATAGATGAGAAGTTAAATAGTTGAGGCCAATGAAGCTAACAATCTACACATGCTAGAACTAAGGAGAGAGAATTTGTTTGTGGCAATGGAAAAGTAAACTAGATAAAGGAGATTAAGAAAAAACAGGCAAATATAAAAAAATAACTTGCAATTCATCTGCTCTGTGGTTAATACAAAAAACTTACATTTTCTTTGGTCAGAAAATCTGCTTGGAGATACAGTCTTGTCAAACTTGTCTGTAACACTCTTGATAGGATGTTTATCTTCACAAGATTCTTTGACTTCATTCAGAGATCCTAGATTCGTTTGCACTTTGGGTTCTTTTGTGCTGTCTAATTTAGTTGCAGTATCACAAAAAGTTCCAGAATTCACATCTTCTGGAAACCTATCAACATCAAATCTGCCAGTGGATGCTCTCCGTACATGAGCTGGTCTAAGTAACATTCCAGGTTTTGTCTTTGAAAAGGTGATGGTCTCTTTTTCAGATTTTGCTGAGACCTTACTGTCAGGAATGTCCCGAGGTACAATGTTAGGCGCAATGAAAGATTTTCTAATTGCTTGTTCATTTGATTTTACACGAACTCCTGTTGCAGGACTCTGCTTCGCTGTTCCCAAGTTGCAAATTTCCTTGAATTCCTCTGGAAGATCTACTTTTGTTGAACTTAAAGACCCTGATCTCTGTAAAGTAACAGGTTTCCCGCCAGAAGCTTTACATGGAAGGAAATAGCATCTTATTAGATACACAATTGGCAAAATGATCGGAGTTATAATACAAATACAACAGAACTACGTAAATATCCTTTTTCATCATGTCAAGAAGTTTAGTAGATGTTTCATGTTAGCATGCATGTAAAATTCATTTCCAGTTTAAGTCGCTTTAACAAAACTGCAATTACATTCTTTGCTAAAACAACCCATTGATACAATATTAGCATCCTATCTATTAATCTGTTAGGGTGTACTGCATGGCCCAGACTCTTGCAAGCTCAATTGGTTCAGAACCTTGACAAATCCAATTATAAACCAAACTTAAATCAACATTATATACGAGGTCACATATATCTTTCAGCTAAATCAGTCAAATAATACAGTACAAGTTGGGTTTATCAATTAACCAATGCCAATAGGGAATATCCGTGTTAGCAAAGCATTAAATGCAGCAAAACTCTGCCATTAAATGTGGCAATAACAGTGAAACTTATAATACAGAATTTCAATTTCCTAAGATACCCAAGGAAAGACAAGAAAAACAGTGGCTTACAGTCGATATATATATTCTTTATCTCTTTAGACTCATCAGGAGACATGCTACGCAACCCAGAGGTTGGTCCTACATTAACTTCTACTTTCTCCAGTTTACTTTTCTGAAGACTAAGATTCTTTTCTGTGCCTTCATTTTTCTTGGGATCCAAGCCAGCACCATATGGCTCAATAAGCTGAAACATTGAAACTATTGGTCAGAATGAGGGTTAACAGAAAATAAAGAATAAAACATCCATCTCAAAATATTTCTAATTCAGACTAAATGGAAGCCATGAACTCATGTTGCAGCTAACACCCATATTATTTGAAATGTTATATCTCATCTATTTACTCTAGTAAAATAAGTATATAAATTCAATTACTAGGATTAGTAACTGATAAAGTGATAATAAAAACCAGCAAGTGAAGAAAAAAAACAATTTCTCATGCAAACCTTAATTATTATTGCACTATTCGTCATTATATGTGCTGGAATTCTGTTTTCAATTCTTTTTTTTTTTTCAATTCAGTATTGGTGTAAGCAGAGCACAAGCAATGGCATCACTCTGCCTTATAAGTATGAATTCACCATCACACTAAGAGCTAAATCTATAATTGTAACAGATAGATCATGTTTTAAATACAATTAATCTAAATTAATAATACCGATATATCTGCTACCCAGACTCCAACAGAATTTCGGTAGAATGAGCACCCCAAAAGTTTCCCATCGTGAATACAAAGATCACCAAGTGTTGTCCATCCCATATCAACAGTATCATGACATATAACAGGTTCCCATGAATACACCTACGATATCAGCATTGCAAATAACATCATTAACCTGTTCCACATTCTTCATTATTAATTTGTATAATCTAAAGAACGCAACATTTTTTACCTTCAAACCATCTTCATGTCCAGTAAATAGGGTCCTTCCATCAGGATGAAAAACTATAGATCGTACCCCAGTTGCCTAAGAAAAGTAATATGAAATAATTCAGATAAGAAATATAAACTATAAGTTATACAATTATTACTTATCAAATAATATATATTTTACTGTGCCACAAATGTTCTTGCATTTGGCAGAGCTGTGGAAAGTTAGGCATGCTTCAAAGGCAATAACTTTGACACATAAATCGGGCTAGTTTGGACAAACAACTTATTTAAGATCTTATATAATAAAAGCTTGTGTTATTATAAGTACTTAAAATTGAATAAGTTGTTGCATTTAGATATACATGTTAACAAGTATTTGTACAATTTTAAAGTGTTTGGATGTATCATTATCTAAGCATTTATATATAAGATGTTATCTCATTCTAAAAATTAAAATATTACAAATTAAAAGTACTCATAAGATATTTTATAAGTTTGTCCAACACTTTCATAAGCACTTATAAAATAAGATAAGTACAAATAAGTTGTTCATAAACTCTTCTAAACGAGACCATGGTACTAAATTAAACATCAGAACATTTTAGGCATCCATAAATTTAAAATGAAGACAAGATACATATTAGAATTTGAAGGTAATAGAAAATTTTTAACCTTGATAAATACAGAAAATGTAGAAATGTTGTTGTCCACAAGTATATTAATAAGTTTTCACCAAATAGTCATCTGGAACTAACAACAACAACAATGTGATGACAAACCGCAAAGAAGTGTCAAGAATGGCGATAAATTCACCATGATAGTTGACAAAGAATTAACAAGGAAGTAAGTACTTGTGGTAGTACAAAACTTGTCTAGAGGTTTAGAGAAAGAGTAAGAGAGAGGAGACAGCAATGCAAGCACAAATTGTGGCATAAATGAACATAATTGTTTCCTTTTAAGTGGAAGAATAAGATTCAGGAAGTTTAGATACCTCACGTCTGGCAGATCCAATCAGCTCAAAGGTTTCTAAATCCCAGAATTTCACTGTTCTATCAGCAGAACCTGCAAACAAAGTTTGTGAATTTCAATAACTGGTTTCTCAAAAAACCAGGACTAATGAACCCGACCCCCAAAAGTTAGCTCAAGGGGGAAGAATTGCCCAGACCTTGTAAGGATGGTTTAGCCATATTCCTATCCAATGTGGGACATCTTAACATCTTATTCATACAAAAAATAAGTTTGTAGAAATTTTGGAGATACAGAAGAGACAACTATAAAACACAATACAATTTACACCTTGCAAAACCACACCATATTTTGCAGCCCCAAGACAAGAGTGTGATAATATCTTAGCATCACATGTTTTTCGTATATAAATTGGCTTTATTACATCATGAATTCATGATATAAGTCAATTTTCCTATTTCATGGTCATTTTCTATTATTAGTTAAGAGAGAGAGAGACTAATTATTAAATAACAGACAATTGCAGGATTTCATAAGATCTATTTAGATATCTACAACTTAGATGTGGAAGTTTCATAGTTTGATCTCCTATTAGTATGAGACTTCTCTCTTTGACATTAATTAAAAGACTTGAAGGAGGAAGAAATATACTTTCCTTGTTTTCTAAAGATTGGACATTAAAAAGGATTGGATAAAAATACATAATACTAGGAGAAAGCCCAATATTTTATTTTGGGCTCAATAAAACTTGTACAGACATGAAAAGAAGGCCATAAAGGGAAGCTGTGCATGGCACACTACAGTATGCATGCCTTGTTAGTGCTAAGCAATGATGGAATCACGAATATTTTAGTATTCATCATGAAATTTTATTCCTTAGCTTTTGAATCACTATTGTTTTATATGGTGAAATTTTTAGTGAAATTTTTAATTTGATTCCACTATTTCTGTAATCACATGTCAATTCTGATTTCTAGGCGGGCTATAGTTCATGATTTGATAACTTGGAAAATAAAACACTATAATTTGAGGTTTGAATTCATCAATTCTCAAAGAAGATTGAACCTCCATGACCTAACAAAAATTCTATATATACTGAAGCGTGACACCTAGCCTATATATAGATTTTGCAATAAAACTCGTTTAAAATAATTTTCCATATAATTACTACCTTTTTTAATGTAATTTAGATTTTAATGGCCCTAAGTTGAGGAATGGGACCAAAAATGCTCACGCACATCCTTAGTTAAGATGTTTTCATCCTCTTAATCCCCCATAAATGCAGCATATCGTATAAACTAATGTGACACAAGCTTTTCATTAAATTTTATCAATTATACAACCTGAGTAACTAGAATTTGCATTAATATTATTTAGAAGAGATTTTCTCTATGTATCTACCCATAAAAGCAGCAAGTATTATGAAACAAAGAAGCATTTTATGGATATTTCCAATACATAAGCATCTAACACTCTAAAATGCTCCAACTGTTCAAAAGTCACTAATTCACCTGTAGCCAGAAGAAACTCAAGCGGATGGAAATCCAATGACCTAATGTGTCCTTCATGGAACTTGAAGTCATGCAAGAGCTTCCCAGCAGTTAGATCCCACACCTGTACATTAGTAGGGAGGTAGATTCATGTTTTGTTGGAACAAAAATTGCGTAAGATAAATCTGTTGCATTTATACCATAATGGATCTAAGAATGGCCATATTGTTACCTTCACAACATTATCAAATCCACCAGAAACAACCCAGCGGCCATCAGGAGTGAATTTGATAGTGCTGATTCCCTGGCTATGACCCTTATACGTATGAATACATCCTTTTTTTCTGATGTCCCAAATCTTTAGATTAGTGTCCATGGAGCCAGATGCCAAAAATTCACCGAAAGGATGAAACTCAACAGCAGTACAATTGGATCTGTGTCCAGCAACAGTGCGAACCACTATACTTCAAGAACAATAACAAAATATTAGAAGCATTACCAATAAATTTTCAAAGGCAGGATCAGATATGGTGACCAACAATTGAAAAATGTTCAAGATTTGGAACCAGAACTAGTAGCAATACTAATCAATTCCCTTATAAAGACATGCAATCCAGGTAGATAGCCTAACTGCCAAACTCATAATTTTTTAATTAAAAATTTATTTATGATCATCCGATTTACATTTCTCTATAGCTTAAGTCTAATGCTCCACAAATAAACACCATTCTAGTTTGTAATATTAGCATAAGTTCATCAAGGTGTGGCAGTGGACTAATTGACTTACTCTTTGCTTCTTCCAAATCCCAAAGCTTGATCACACCTGATGATGCTCCGCCAAGAACCAACACTTCTCCTGAGTCAAATGCGACAGATTCAACTGGACTAGTATGACCAGACAGGCTCTGCATATATTTACAGTAAGTCAAGCATTGTTAGGTCACAACTACATACATTCCACCTGGCACTACCTCCATCAAAACGAAGTTGCTACACAAGTCATAATGGGGAATCCAATCAGGAAAAAAGTATAGATGATACATTATTATGATTCAAGTATGGTAGAAAATCCCAGTTTTGTAGTATCTCCTTATATAGTGCAGGTGCCAAAAGCATGAAACAGATATGTATGGAAAAACAACTAAACTCGTCATTTAATACGAACTCAAAGCAAATCCTTCAGCTAGATACAATAACAATTGCAAAACATGTAGGGCACATTAGAAATAAACCCTTCATTAAAGTGGCCAGGTCAATGATCTAGCAGTAGCCATATCCTAACCAGATTATCAGAATGGCACAAAAATAAAGGCAGCAATGGCACTGACCATTAAAGAAGTTGGTTTGCCGATTGTCCATAGATTGACCTTGTGATCATCCCCCCCTGTAACGAAAAGACGGCACGCCTTCTTTCCAATATTTAAACAATTGACGCTTGCTGAATGAGCCACAAATTCCTCTACAGTTTATTGGCTAAGGAATTCACATTATCAAATAAGTACACTCAACCCAGTCAACAACACACAACCTGACTGAAGAAGTAAATAAATAAATCAATACCCCACAAATTAAAAACCACCCTTTAAGCTAAACCGGCAAATTATATCTTTATTCTTTCAATATTTGATTTCCATTTTCAAAGAGATTAGAGAGAGGAAATGAGTGCGGATAACAAAGAAAACCTTGAAAGTTCGTATTAACTTCTGCAACAATTTCTGGGCAATGAAACGGAAAAAAAAAAAAAAAAAAAAACTTGACAATATAACTTCCAAAAAAATTCAATACTTTTTCTCCAGAAAAAGAAAATAGCACATCCCACCTTGCCCTCTCCCAAAACATAAAACCCAAAAGGAACATAATAAATAAATAACAATAACATTAAGGGCTTTTGAAGCTGTAAAGAAACACCTAACCTAGATTTCAACAGAAACTCAGCAGCAAGTAACTAATTTTAATTTTTTCCAAAAAACAAAAAGAACCATCAGCAGCTCCAGGTAAGCATTTTCTCTAGCAGAACACTTTTTTTTTTTAAAGGATACGTATTTTATATCCACGCTTTGCCATTTTTTGTTGGGCACCTCAGAAACCAGCTTGTGAAGCTGAAATGAAATTCCTTTCTTAAGTGAAGAAGCAATTCAGAACTTGGGTCTAGTCCAAAGATGGTTCCCCCTGCTGCTGCTACCTGCTACTACTCCACCACGATTCAGAATAAGAAGAAGAAGAGATCCTTCGGTGGGTGGAGAATGGAAATCCGAAGAGGAAGGTAGGAATTGGATTAGATGTGTCAGATGAGAAACGGTCTCAAAATAATTATAAAAGCAGAAGAAAAGGAAGAAGTAGAAGAATTCAGATTCAACAGTGAGAATAGAAATGAAAATTAATAAATTATGCCTTGGAATTTCTTTTTCTCAATAAATACTTTCCTTTCCTTTTGCTTTTTTAAATATTATTTATTTGTTTTCTTACTTTAATTATGTGTGGAGCAACCAGCAAAGACGCGTCTGCGTCGCAGTGAATAAAAAGACATTCAAGTGTGTTTGGACAGCAAGATCTTCAGTTAAATTTCAATCTTTATTATGTTTTTCCTACAATTAATTCTTTTTCTAATATGTTTCTTAAAATTTTCTGAAAATAGAAACTTCTTTAGACTTTTTTTCATAAAGGATTTAATGACGTACTTTCAACTTAAAAGAGTATAATCTTTTTATTTTACTAGGATATAAACTCATTATATATAGTGATATGTGGTTAAATAATAATAATAATAATAACTATTTTTTATTAGCAATATATAAATTTTTTTTTTTATATTTTCTTATAAATATCTTTATCTATTAAATTAGAGATCAATCTTACTCACTTTTGTGTGATTTCGCTAGAAGGGTTTTTTTAGCATAAGAATTTTTTTCACTATTTTATAGATATCAAAATCATTTTAAAAAATTCTAAAAGATAAATAACTTTTATGGCTACTACCAAAAAGTCCGTCTATTTGTTGCTGACGTGTAATTTTTTTTGACATAGTTTTTTTTCTTTTCAGGATATATGATATTTGAGGTGTGGATTAATTATTTTTATATTATATATTTTATTATTTGATGTGAGGTAAGAATTGCTTCGGTGACCATGCTTTTATTCTAGTTTATTGCGTCTTGCACGTTAGTGTTTGCATAAAATAATTTTTAAAAGCGTTTGTATGCATGCATAATAAATGTTTAAATGTGGTAAAAAAAATGTTTAAAATCATATATGTTTATAAAATTTAGCTATAAACCTTACGTATATTAACAAATACTACTACTTTTCATTCCACGTCTACCTAATTTATGGAGTAATTTAACTAACAATTGAAGAAGAAGCAATTTGAAGAGAATAAAAGGCACGAAAATGACTTTTATCGAACGACGGGAGATTCCTTATAACATAATCTTCCTTTCTTCATCTTTAATTTTTCATTATGTTGGGGAAAACTTAGAACGGTATATCTATGTTTCATTGTCATTCAATAATGTGGATGGCCATATATCAACTGCATTAAACACAGTTAATTTAAGAGAACAAGCTCTATAGACTATATAAATTAATTATATACTCCTATTTATTTATAAGTGATTTTTCATATTTTTAAGAAATAATTTTAAATAAACTCACTCATGAGTAATCTCTTTAATTTAGAACAATTTTCTTTCTTTCTTCTAATGTCCGTAAATGCGTTAACTTTTAAAAGTATGAAAAGTTATTAGATTTTTTTAAAAACGTGTGTGTTAATTATGTTGATTATTATTTTGAAGGTCTTAAATGTTTGATGTCGTCTAAGAATTGATGTAATAAATAGTTGTGATTTTCAATAACTAGAGTAAGATTTTTTTTATTCTTGGAAATGGACGTTTTCAATATCCAAAAAAAAAAAATTGTTAATTGACCTTAATTCATCAACATCCAATTCCCATCTCTTCTCTAATGTGTCAAAACAAAGTAAGGATTTCCATTAACTAACTGTTCATGGGTTTAGTTCAAATGCTTCTTTCAATGAATTCGAATTTGTTGCAATCAAAATTTGTTTAGAGTTAGTGTCGTGGGCCAATTTTCGCTAGCTGAAATTTAATTGCATGTAAAAGGTTGAATTTAGTGACATCAAGCTGAAATTTAAATTCAAGAGAGAACTTGAACTAAGTGATATTAAAATCTCAATTGTTAAATGTTGAGGGTTTACATTTTGATACTCATCACATGTTGATAGTTAAGGATATATTAATGGTGTGTTTGGGAAGGTAATTTAGTAGAGAATAGAGAAGAAAAGAAAAAAATATTAAGAAATTTTTAAATAAAAAATATGTGTGTTTGAGAGATGATTTAAGTGAATTTCTTAGAAAACTATGATAGAATTCATGTGGATTTAATTTTGCTTTCTTATGAGTGGATTGTGTGAAATTTTTCACAAAAAAATAAACTTGGATAAAACTAACTCTACATTGTTTTTTAAATAGTTAGTTAGTAAAGAGTAAAAATGTAATTATCTAAAAAATATATTTTTACATAAAAATTAAACTACATAAAATACAATTTTAAAATACCAATTTCTCTCTATTTCTCACATAATTCTACTTTATCAAATTACAAATTTCACATTATTTCTTATAAAGTCAATTATCATCTATTCTCTTCAATTATTTCTTCTACCCAATAAAGCATAAGAGTTTTTTTTTTTTTTTTTTTTTTTTTTTTTT